CCGCACTAGCGAAGATGAGGTACAAAGCTAGCAAACATTTTTACGCGCTTTCGAAGGCCGTTGTTGACTACGTGAAGAACAAACGTCAGGCAAGACCCACTGGATACGTTGGTGAGTACCTAGCTTCCTCTGTCATAAACTTCTATGAAACCAACAACAAACTTCTTTGCTTTTTCGCACCAAAGAATATATGGATACGAGGGATCTCTTTTGACAATTAAAATGTATATGTATGCCATATTTTCCATCAGCAAACTTTATGTCTATCCCTCAATTAACATACAGGCATTGCAGTTTTAAAGTAGGCTAGGCCCATTCACGTCACTTAGCCTCAAATCTACTAAAAAGTCCCAATAATCCAATTTATTGAAACAAAAAGTCTTCTAAATTTTAAATACTATTTTATATTCGTTTTCTTTATTTAAAATGTTTCATTTGAAAAAAAGTAAACATAATATGGCGGATCTAACGCCATGAATATTTACTACAGTCCATTCTAAGGCTGAAAAAAAAATTACAGAAAAAGGTCCCTAATGCTGCAGTATACATAAATGTGATTGAAGCTAAAACTGCTTATAGTAATTTGTAGTTTTTGCGTCATCAATCATCATCAAAAGCCAAAAGACCTCAACTACCGAACGACAAGCCTCCTATTTAACGGGGGTTAACCACGATCCCCACCAATTCGTTTCTCTTGAGAATCGCAATTACGTCGAAGAAGAATTTAAGAAATGCTGCTGCTTAGTAGAGTTATATTGGTAGTAACTGGAAGTGGACCTCTGTCAAGACTTAAGATATTATGCATAGGTTACATGTTAAAATAAAACAAGTCCAATTTTCCTCCAGGAACTGCAACGTTCTGTCAAGACAATATTTGTGTCCCTGACACGGATCCACCGATCGTGTTCGGAGGTTGCTTCACCCTCGTCTCCTGCGGAGGCAACCAGACCTGGCACTTGGACCCCATCGTGTACAAAAAGAAAAAGGGACGGTTCTTTTAGATTTACAATCAATAAATTATTTTACATCACTGTTTTCTTCACTCCTATTAAAATATTTTTAAGTTTGAGAGAATATTTGGATGTAGATTTGTTATTCTTTAATGCAAAAACGGCTGGATCCATTTAGTTGAAATTAGTTATGAGATAGGTGATATACAGGTTTCACATGTCTGTGAAACCTGCTTTTTATCAACATACCACGCGTGTCAATAATGTGGATGTGGATGTGTGTTTGTTATTCTTTCACACAAAAACGGCTGGACCGATTTAGTTGAAATTTGGTATGTAGATAGGTAATTAACACAACAACCGTTTTTTATCAACATACGACGCGGGCGAAGCCGCAGGCGATATATCTCTTAGTCATTTCATTTAAACGTTAGCACCAAGTGAATGAGAGCAATTCGTCTTGGTGAAAGTAATTGCTATGAAAAAAGCAATTTTAAAATATTATTACAGCTACATTATACATAGGGCAAGAAATGGAATGAAAACTGTTGCGAACTCATCATATCATATCTCTGGATCCAAAACAGGCTTTGTTCCCAGACTTTTAAGGTTTCTGGCAATTGCAGATCCCGGTCTAGGTCACAGAGTGGAGTGGGAAAGTCATGCTTCGGCACGAATGGGTCGGCTCGACCGGAGCTATATGGTCATAGCCTCACAAAAAACCGACGTGAAGCTGTACTTACGTTGTGTTTTGCAATGTAAGATTACCAGAGGCCCAAGCTTTCCCCTCCCTCATTCTCAATTTTAAAATCTCCTTTCCTTAAATCCTTAAAAACTCACAAGAAACCGGCAACGCACTTGTAGTAACTCCTTTGGTACTACGAGTGTTCATGGGCAGCGCTGACTGCTTACCATCAGATAAACGATCTGCTCGTTTGCAGACCTATAGGTAATATAGGTACAAAAAAAATAGCAGTTTCCGAGAATCCAACCCATATCATATTACTGTTAATTAAAATAGATTATAAAAATTAAAAAAAGATTTAAGTAAGAAATTAAATTATTATTATTTTAAATGCACATTCAAATTTTATCCAGACCGCACACACACACTTATCACATCACAACGAAAAAGTTCCACTGATATAATACCTAATCAAATAAAAAAAGGCAAATTAAAAAAAGGTAATTTAAAAAAGAGTTCTTTTACCACCTGTTGCATTGTGTAGTAACAATGCGAATTACGTTCATTGTTTTATTTGCACTAAGGAGGCTTTAAAAGACCTTTACAGATGTTCAGTCGGATCGTTAAAATGCTATAGTGGTCCATCACACAACACAATGGAGTTTTTATATCTACTTACAGTTTCTTTGCACATTTACAATGTAGCGTCTGAAATCAGAAGCAGTGCACTCGTGAACAAGTAAGTACTACTTTAATAATTATGGTCGTGAACAAATCTAAGATACTAATTTTATAGAGAGGTACAATTTTTAAGTTTGTATGTAGGGGGTAATCTTTGGAACCGGTTACAGGATTTGCAAAATTCTTTCACTGGTAGATAGCTTCATTGTCCCTGACTACTATAGGATTAAAATAATTATACTTGATTTACGGATTTTAGTCGACCTATCGCTTTAAATGCTGCTGTTTAAAATGTGGATACGTTACGCTTTAACGCGTATATATACTTTTATAAGCGTGCGCAGCCGCGGGCGGAAGCTAGTTTACCATAAACTATTTATGGGCAGAACAGAATATTCTGCCTTTTGAGGAAAGATTAATTACAATGTTTTATAAAACAAAAATTTGCTTTGAGGTTTAATTGAAAAATTAATTCAAGGCATCAATACTATGGTTCGCTGAGTTGGAAGCTATTAAACCTTCTTTTCTTTTTTTTTATGTAATAGGTCGGCAAACGAGCAGACGGATTACCTGATGGTAAGCAATCAGCGCCGCCCATGGACACTCGCAACGGAGGAGTTACGAGTGCGTTGCCGACCTTTTAGGGATTAGGGATTTGGAGATTTAGGGATTGAGGAGGGATTGGGGAAGGGGAAGGATTGGGCCTCCTTTATATTTATTTATATTATTTCTCCTACCTAAGTAAGTACTTACTAAGTAGGTACTTACTTAGGGAAAGTAGACTTAGGTAGAAAAGTACTTACTTACTTACTTTCTACTTAGTACTTACTTACTTTCTACTTAGTACTTTCTTACTTACTAGTTAGTACTTACTTACTTACTACTTAGTACTGACTTACTTAATACTTAGTACCTACTCACTTACTTAGTACTTACTTAAGTAAGTACTATTTGTTATAATGACATTTCCAGCGAATGTCTATTACCTATTTGACATTATGAATGGTACTCTACTTTTCAGACTTGCAAAAGTGAGGCCTGTCGGTGCCCACGTCGGAAAAAGTTTTGTCCCGCTCACAGAGATTCCTCCTCCTCATGTACCGCATCCGAACCGCCCCCATCCAGATGCACATAAAGACGGACATAAGGACGGACATACAGATAAATCTGGCAGAAGACATTTAGAAGATGACTGTATTAAGAAGCCAGCAGGCAAGGATGTGATCGAGGGCCCTAAGGTCGACATATTCCCAGATTATTACGACGATAAAATAGCAAAAACTGTCGCCACCGTCATATTTCCAGATCATATTGACCGTAAGTACAATTTTTATGCACCCATCTAACCGGCCTGTGATACTTCAATTCTGAACTATGGATTCGACGTTTTATCAGCTTCAATGCTGTTCAAAAGTTCAACACAATTCTTCTTGTGGTGGAACATTTTTTACTTCAAGTTTATTCATAAAAGTTCAGTTGCATCTGAACCTGAATTATTGTAGGAAAACAGACAAGATTCACCTATTAACCACGTTAATTTATTTTACAGACAAACACTATGAAGTGACTACTCAAGTGCCCTACCTAACGCTGGGTCCTATCGAAGCTATAGGCTACCACCCCAGCACGATGAAGAGTGAACATCCCAGTGAGTGTGAGAAAATATACCAGGATCATCTTGATGAGCAATACACTGAGGAGTCCAAAGACTATTCCGAAGAATCTCTGGAAATGGCCCGACTTCCTCTTTCCCCTCCCAATGACCCATCAGCAGAAGAAAGAGTAGAAAAATTGTACAGCGATCTAGATATTTAATGTTAATTCGATATGTATATAGTTGTGTATTTTTTATATTTGCTACGATAGATTTTTACATCAATTCTGTACTATCTTAATGTGCTATTATTACTTTTTTATTCATTGATATCTGGAGTTTTTATTTAATAAGCGATTCTTGGAATTTTTCGGTAAGATAAGCTACGCAAGTACCAAGGCTGATAGGTTGCAGAAGTGCACTTGCCCGACACTAAACTGACAAAAAAGCAACGACTGCTATCTTTCGAGTGCACCTCCTGTGGTGTCACAGAAAACCGGCGTCAAACAACCACAGCGTTGTGTTTCGCCGTGTGAGTGAGGTTACCGGAGGCCTAATCCTTCCCCTCCCCCAATCCCGCCTCAATCCCTAAATCTTCAAATCCCTAATTCCTAAAAGGTCGGCAATGCACTCGTAACTCCTCCGTTGCGGGTGTCCATTGGCGACGCTGATTGCTTACCATTGGGTAATCCGTCTGCTCGTTTACCGACCAATGAGATAAAAAAAAAATTGGGCGCACCTCAGGGACCACGACGTTCGTTATATAATCTTACCACCAAACCTGCAATCCCTAAACTGGGCGGTGGAATTATAAGACTCTTACTGACGAAAACACACTCCACTACTTTTGCTGCAAAACGGGTACATCATAGTGATTTATCCGCAACCCTGTTTAGAAATGGCCCAAACCTCAAAGGTTGTCTATAGGCAACACCGACATAAATTACTTACCATCATCAGTCATACAATTATTCGGTTGCCGAAAAAAACGGGGAACTAAAACACTTTCTTCAATCGACTTATTTATTACTTCTTACATTGCTTACTTAAATATCTTATTGCTAGTATTAAAGGTAGTGTGCGTTCACTGTTATACAGGGCCCGCTTGTAAATTGTATTTGTTTGGTACTTTCACATCTTTATCTTTATCGTCAAATATTTCTTCCGTATCGTCATCGTCGAAATCGTCCATGTCAAGTGGGTTCCTTGAAAAAAAACAATAAGAATGTTACACTGGAAGTAATGATTGCATGCGTAATAACGATAGGTCGGTCATTTAATTGAGTACATAATACTTAATATGTATAGTTCGAACACTTACTTGTTCCAGTCGATTTTGTGTCGTTTCCTGAAACAAGAAAAATTTAATTTATAAACTTTTTGGCTATAGACAATACTGACTCAAGTCGACGACGATACAAACATGACTAAAATCATGGTTTTAAAATATGACATACAATGTTTCTCCAACTTTACCTCAGATCACATCATCAGACTACAAGTACCCACTGCTGAGCAAAGGCCTGTTCTCACACGGAGAAGGTTTGAGCAATAATCACCACGCTTTCTGAAGGCGGATTGGTGATTTGACACTTATAATTAGAATTTATAAGTCCAGGTTTCTTCACGACGTTTTCCTTCACCTTATGTCAGTAATGTCTAAATAATCATAGAAAGAACTTCTTACCTGTTAGTAGCAATATAGTCTTGGTCCATATATTCTTCCGATACCTCGACAGAGAGAGGTTGCCCTCTATGGTCTTGCAGGATTCCGAAGTAACGAGGAGCTCGCGTCACGGTGTATAGTAAAGCTTGAAAAAAAAACAACATTTCAATATAGAACGTCCTCATTTTTACACCCTCTTAAAGGATTTCCTCTCACGAAGGGGCGTTTACAAAAATACTTGGAAATTGACAAAAAAGTTTATAAACAGATTAATTTAGGATAGGCCTTAAATCTTAGTAAGTAATCATTCAAACAAATCAATCAATCAAATCAATGTCATCAAAAATTTAAGTAGCTTTTCCGTGTCAACGGTTTCGGTCCAGCAATATACAGAATGAACCATAAATTGAAAAACACGTGGTATATCATTTTGTAAATAAAATACATCGGAACATTAATGATTTTCCAAAAAAAATATAAATGTGAAAAAGGAGGAGCTGCCTCTAAACATTTTTATACTCTATATCATCATCATCATCGGCCTATAACTGCCCACTGCTGAGCAAAAGCTTCTTCTCACACGGAGAAGGTTAGAGCATTAATCACCACGCTTGCTCAATGCGGGTTGGCGATTTCAAACTTATATTTAGAAATTATAAGTCCAGGTTTCCTCACAAGTTTTTCTGTTTGCGTTTGAATGGGGACTTGGATGGTTCAGATTCACAAATCAGCCCGGCAGATGGCGCTGATTGCTTGAAAAAGCATGTGATCTCGGAAACGGCTCTAACAATTTGGCAGAAATTTGACATGTGGTCAAGTCAATATGTGCCAAAGTCAAAATCGGGACTCGGGGAGGATCCGCTAAGTATATGAAGGCATATATGTAGACATAGGGATAGATTAAGTCAGAACTAGAGTTCTATAGTTGTGTTTGTCATACAGTACAAACAACGACATCGACTGCACCCGTGGACTGCACAGTTGGCACATTGGCTGGGCAACTGGCTGCTATGCAATGTGTCACGGGTTTGATTTCCGCACGAAACAACGCTTTGTGTGATCCACAAATTGTTGTTTAGGGTCTGGGTAGCTTGAGTATGTAAATTACTAAAAACACGATTCAGGATAAAATAAACTAAGGGGCAACGTTTTTTTTAAGAAGAAAGGAATTTTGAAAGTCTGACAGATTCAGGATGGCATAACTTGTAGATAGGTTTCTCCAACCGAACGTATTTGTAAGATGTCGGTAGCCTGTCCATGAACATGCTATGAAAGTAGCTGAATTACACTAGTCTCCCCGTGCCTGGGTCGGTTAACCGGCTCATCCATACAACATAAGCTGTAGAGCCTAATCGTCCTTCTAGGGATGAGATGTGATGCCTCAAAGAGCCAATAGACCACGACAGACGGGGTCCTATAGGGCTGATGTTCAGCCGGGGTTGCGGGGTAAGCGCAATGAGTCACCGCGGCCTCGGCCCAGAGCAGGAGAATTTTAGTCAGTAAGAGTCTGACACTCTCTCTCGCCTTATCCTGGGCGGGAGAAGTCATTTGATGATTTTCCCCTGACAAAAAAGGGATGAGATGTGATGTTATGGTGTGGTAGATTTTCGTCTTTAGTAATTATTATCCTTTACATATTTCAATTTATCACCATTTAACAATTTGTATATATAACTTATATTTCCACTTTATATCCTTCTTTTCCCGATTATTTCGAACAACACTGAATTTAAACCAAATTAATCTGAATGATGATAAAACGATATTATGATAAAATTGCATGGTGGCAATGGCGATGGCGTTCCTCAATCATAATAGTGCAAGTTTAAGGAACCTGATGAGAAGGAAAAGAAGCTTTTTAAAGTTCTACCTATTGTTTTTCTGCGATTATTTAAACACGCTGGTGGATTGGCGGTTGCAATTTTTTTATTTGCAATACTTGCATTTTGCTGTCTGATTTCGGTCAAATGTTATTAGCTGTTAGGACATCCGTGGGAAGGTGGCGTGTGACTCTGCCGTCAAAATACACATAGTGCCCACACAACAAGTTTGGTATAATCAAATTATTCAACTTACAGTCATCAACGGCTTGAAGTCCACTTAACGCCACGCATAAAACAATTAAAACTACTCCTAACTTTAATTTTGTTTCACACATTTTTTACGATTTCCAAACGCAAAAGTCTCTCGCCAAATTCGATGCAATTATAAAATTAATTGATCACAGAATACAACTCTTTTATTAACACAGTCCTATAAAAATCATATTTAATAAAGAAAATCGCTGCCAGTTTGCCAGTTAGTAAAATGTTGCGTTCTAATTTTGAATTCAATTTGGATTCGATGTTTGCCGTTACGATAGCTAAAGAGTTTGGAAAACATGAAAGTGTTTAATAATCTGACATTCGTGTTTTGGCAGTTTTGTCATAGACATTACGAACAATGGATTGCATAACCAATTTTTGGCACGTGACCATAACTTGTAGAGCTGTTCCTTTTTTAGCTGTTTCTGTAGAAGGAAACTGTATTTTTAGCTGTTTTATTGGACCGCTTAATTAAAAAAGAGCCAACATTAGGTACCTATTCTGTACTACCAGTACGGGATACCTGCGCCGAATTAAAAAGGTGTACTCTTCCTTCAGTTAATGTTATCTTTCTCAGTCTTTAGCAGCACTAGAAACTAAAGTTTAAAAAACATAAATATATTAAGCAACTATTCTAATTTGAAATGTTTTATGAGAACATAGTTGTCGCACCTCTCGCGTCCGGCCTTAGTCGAGGCCATGGTGATGAGCGAGAGGAACTGGGAAGCCATCTACTCTCTCCGAGAATCAGTGATGCTCGCAAAAAATGGCGAAACGCATGAAGGAACTATCCTCCTCACGGCCCAGGCGCCGCAGTAAGCGATATTCTGGGCATCAGTGATCCAGCGATAATCTCCGTAAAGGCGGGTCTGCAGACGGCTACCAAAGTTAACTGGCCGCCTGACCAGAACCAGACCCGAGCGTACAGCGCGCGCTTCAAAGAGCCAACAAACCACCACAAGCGAGACCCTATACAGGGCTGATGTTTAGCCAGGGTTGCGGGGCAAGCGCATTAAGATACCACGGCCTCGGCCTAGAGCAGCAGGAGGAACAGAGGGATTTTTAGTCAGTAAAAGTCATCCCACTCGCCGCATTATTTACGACTTTCTTTTCACGAAAAAAAGAAATGATTTCCGCATTAATTATGAATCTCAGGCACGGACCAAACAACTAATGAAATATGAGCAATCCTTATTTATAGCCATTCCTGGATTAACAACGTAACATGTGAAGCATTTGGCACAGAGAGGTTTGGGAAAAACCTTTCCCTTTGCCGCCGTGTAGTTTAATCCATTTTTCAAGTAGCATTCTGTATAAGACTTTGAGTAAGTAATCCGCTACGGCCTAATTTTGCGGGCGAAAACCTGACGATGAGCCGCCGTCGACATACAATTTTACTTAATAAAACCTAAACAATAAATACTAATATATTAATTTTATTATTATTGTAAACTTAATAGAACCTATAGTAAGTCAATAGTTATCAATACTAGTATAGTGTCAATACTATAATAAACAATATCACTCAATGTTTTTATTTTTACTAGCTTTTGCCCGCGACTCCTTTCGCGTGGAATAGTGATTTCCTGCAGACTTGTGGTATAAAAACCTATATCCTATGTCCTTTCTCGAGTTCCAAACTATGTCTGTACCAAATTTCACAGAAATCAGTTCAGTAGTTTAAGCGCGAAGAAAAGACAGATAGACAGAGTTACTTTCGCATTTATAATATTAGTTTGGATTGATAGAGAACAAACGACTTAATTGTGACCTAATTTTAAGTGCTAAGCGCAGACCATTACGTGTTATGTTTTTTTTAAAAAGGCCGATTTTCGAGAGTACGACGTGAAACCTCAGAACGATTTTTTATTCTGTGGTTTCACGCCGGGTTTACTTGAAACCACCTTGGTTTCACTCCAGTCAATATTGAATCGTTATCCATGCTGATGAAACGTTAGTTTTCTTCTGCTTAAAACGTACTTAGGTATTACCGGTTAGGGTTTGAAACATTAATACGTTTTGCCTAAATCAAGATGTCAAGATATGTTCAGTAGCAACTCACCAGCCACCCAGCCATACTGCTCAGCGGTAGATCAAGTTATCTTGTTATTTTTCTATCACATTAATTACATTAATTACAAGATATCCATGTGCACTGTGCACACATTCGGGCAGACGGCTCGGCCGGTGTAATATCATGGCATCAGCATTGAGAGAAGACTACCTGTAGCACAATAATAATTTTGGCTCGGTAGCTGGGCAACTGGCTGTGGTATAACATGCCGCAGGTTCGATTCCAGCCCGGTACCACTCTTTGTGTGATCCACAAATTGTTGTTGCAAGGCTGGGTGTGATGTAGAATAAATTAAAATATTTTAAGTTTGTAACGCACCCACGACACCGGAAGAACCCCTAGTGTGGGGGCAACGTTTTAAAAAAGAGAGAAAAATATATAATAAACCTCTCCTCGACGATTATTTTGAAATCCTCAAAAGGATGGCTAGTAATCTAGTTTTAAGGATTTAAGCATACATAGGGATGAGTAGGGACAGAGGAAGCAACTTTGTTTTATTCTATGTAGTGAAGACATTACTTAGCGCAAAACCGTCAAACTTCTGGAACTTCTAAACTTCTGGTGGACTTGACATTTTATGTAATCATAGGATATATAAGGAAATAGTATCTATGCGACTATATGCTGGAGTAAACCGCTGTTCTTTAGCTAAACAGTCATGTACATATGCTAAATAAAACAGCCACACAAAATATTCAATTAGTTATTTATTTAAAAGTTTACAATTAGCATTATTTCCTATAGAAAAGATTGCCTTCACCGCCCCAGAGTCGTCTGCCACCGTACCCTATCAAGTCTTGTCGAAGAGAGTTGTACTTCTTGAAGAACAGCTTCTTAAGTATACGCTTTCTGCGCTTGTCCTCTTTTAAGCACGACTCGAGCTTGTCCATACACACTTCCTCTCTGAAAAAATAATTCATTAAGTATCATCATTAACTAGAAATCGCGGGTTACTCACGTTTGTAATTGAGAAAAGCTTTACTAGTTTCGAACCACACAGGGGTTCTCCCTCATGAGAGAGTAGCGTGCGCGGACGCGGCGACGTCGCGCAGCCTACTAGTTAGCGTTTTTATTTCATTTAGTATGTCTCACGATAGTTATTATAAAAAGTATCATCATATAAAACATAAATATACTTCATCATTATCTACATCTACTAATACTAATATAATATACTATTTATATAACATTATGAAGCTTTAGACTTTGTTTGTTTGAACGCGCTAAACTCCGGAACAACTGGTTCGATTTTCTTCGAATTCGTTCGGCTATAAAACATTAAGCTACGATATATACGGGCCCAGCAGCGGGCGAAACCAGTAGCTAGTAGCTAGTCTTCGGTAAACGTTGGCCCGGAGGTCAAGGGCTCGCTTCTCATGTCATCTCATCTACTCATAGTTTTATTTTTTTTTGCTTGACTTTCAAAATTGCCTACTGTGGTCTAATTGAAATAAATGATTTTGACTTTCATGCAAGAGGGTTTGAAACCTGGCAAGTACCAATGTGTCTTTTTCAGTGTTATATGTACTTCCTATGATTATTTTAACATTACTGGCATATTATGGTGAAGGAAAGCATTTTGAGTACCTAAACCTTGACTTATAATGTCTAGTTAAAAGTTTGAAATCGTCAATCCGCCGCCAATTTACGTTTGAGAAGAGGCTTTTGCTCAGCAGTGGGCACCTCTAGACTGATGATAAAAGGCATGTATTCATCCTAAATTTGGTAGGAGGGAACTCACTTGTAATTCTGATCCAACAGCAACTTTATAGGCTCCGTTTTCGTGAATTTGTCAGGTAGTCGGGACCCTGGGGGCAGTTTAGCTAGCTCCTTCATAATGCCCATAATCGTGTTTTCCAACTGCGCCAATTTTGGCACCATCAGCCTCTTGATCATCTGCAAAAATGAGTGATACGTTTAAAACACACCTATTGAACTGAATGTTCTTTTTGCCAATGAACATTGTGAAGAGAGCTTTTCAAAAGTCTTATTTATTGTTTTTGTATTATTATTGCAATGTAAATAAAATATCCAATAATAATAATAATAAGGGGCAGGGGCCATAGTATTTCCATAGTTTTCATCCACTAGTCCATAGCAACCCATACCCATAACCTTATAAATTTTTACCACATTTCGCAATAGTCCTCCATCAACCGGGTATTGTCCTTGGGTGCACTTTCATAGTGCATACAGGGATAACTGCCGGCTGATGTCCCATTTCACTTATATTAAAGTTGTTCAAAGGGCCTCTGCGAGTTGGCTTCGGCCCCTCGTACGCCTTCCAAAAGTCCGGGACCCTGTGGTCCCGTGAGTGGAAAGGAACATACATGTAATAATAATAATAAGTTAGTTGGGAATTGTATTTACCCACATTACGGAATGTTGAGTTCGTTAAAAAACTTCGTATGAATAAAACTGTTAATTTCTAATAACACGAAATCTTTAAAATACCTTTCCACAGCGATTACCGGTTTTACACGGAGTCCGGAACTTCCTGCCAAGATCCATAGTCGGTAAATTCTGTATCTGAGTGATGACATTTGAAAACGTGCCCGTAGCTGTTTTCTGAGCTAAAAATCATATTGCAAATACATTTTCAAGTCATTTCTTTCTCCTACACATCACTACTCTACAAGTTCATGTACATGATCTCAACAGTGGCAGACTTTTTGTTTCAATAATTTTAATATTATCTATAGATTGCGTACATCTAAGGATAAAGCACCGATTGTCGATTAGTTTAGATCAGATTTTAATTGTGTGAGAGTCATGCTTGATGAATGGCACGCCTTGAACGCGTTGATACCACGGCCTCAGAAAACTGCCGTCAATCTATCGCAGTCTTATGTTTCACCGTGTGAGTGAGTTATACCTGGTGCAGATCCTTGCACTCCACCTAACTTACCCATCAATGCTTTCTTCGTTTTACCCTGTCTGGCAACATCTGGTTTATTATGGCCGTTGTATTCATCAGAGTTTTTAGCACAATTAACTAAAGTAACGAATATCAGTGTAAACACTATATTTAATGAAAAAAACCTTTTGAAAATCATTCTATGTGACCTAAACACGACTAGTTGAGTCTGCGTCTTGTGTAAGGAAGGAAAAATATGTAAAATTACACCTAAGTGTGTATTTACCAAACAATACCGCTATATAGGAAACTTAACGTTTTGTTGTTAGCCCAAGCAACAATATATGTTGTTACATACAACTGTGTTTGTAAATTAGGGTGTGGAGTAAGCCAACATTATGCTTGACTGTTTTACTGACGAGTGCTACGATACTGTAAGCGAAGGAAACAAGTACCTATATGCTACGCATTATACATTTTCTTAATATACATTCTTTATACAATATTACACATAGGTATTATTAGTCGCGTTAGTTACACTTTCTTACGACTTTCTTTTGAATGACTCAAGACTCAAGAACGGCTGAACCGATTTGGCTAAAATTCGTAGGGAGGTAGCTAATAACTGGGATAAGGACATAGGTTAGGATAGATTAGGTAGAGTAGGGTAGGTAGAGTTAGGTAGGTAGAGTAGGGTAGGTAGAGTAAGGTAGGTAGAGTAGGGTAGGTACAGTAGGGTAGATAGAGTAGGGTAGATAGAGTAGGGTAGGTAGAGAATGGTAGTTAGAGTAGGGTAGGTAGAGAAGGGTAGGTAGAGCACTGTAGGTAAAGTAGGGTAGATAGAGTAGGGTAGTTAGAGTAGGGTAGGTAGAGTAGGGTAGGTAGAGCACTGTAGGTAGTGTAGTGTAGGTAGAGTAGGGTAGGTAGAGTAGGGTAGGTAGAGCACTGTAGGTAAAGTAGGGTAGATAGAGTAGGGTAGTTAGACTAGGGTAGGTAGAGTAGGGTAGGTAGAGTAGGGTAGTTAGACTAGGGTAGGTAGAGTAGGGTAGGTAGAGTAGGGTAGGTAGAGTAGGGTAGGTAGAGTAGGGTAGGCAGAGTAGGATACTCTAGGTAGAGTTGGGTAGATAGAGAAGGGTAGGTAGAGTAGGGTCAGGGTAGGTAGCCAAATGACGGGAGCGACGACGCAAGTGAGAGCTAGTTTTAATATAAATACAACTACGAACTGTGAAATAAATAAAGGAAAGACAAACACAGAGCAATAGACTATTATGGTAGTAAGTACACGGTCATGATGGTATGGGTTTATGTACCAAGTCTGCGCCAAAATTGGCACCAGTCAGCATGGGACATACAACTGTTACACCAATGAATCAGAAAAGCAAAATATCGAGATTAGGCAGCCCCTTCTAGCCACCGTCATACAGTTCGGTGACAATGAGTAAACAGCAATATAATAACAGTCATTTTACACATTCTACATTTTTAAATAAAATCTCATGTCGTCAGTCTAGCTGCCAGTGGTTGGATGAAAAGAGCTGAATATCAAGGTTAATGGCCATGGCATGCAATTTCGGAAGCCTATGTCTCCAGCAGTGGACGAATTCATGCTGATGATGATGATGAAGATGATGAAAAAAGCTACCTCGATTGCTCAGCTGTTCAACAGCGTTTATTTCAATTAAAAAAATCTAGAGTTTGAGTCATTTTTTTTAAGTTTTTTTTAAGCAGGTAGGACTAGTAAGTAGAGATACCATATAGTAGTAATTAATATGTAGATACCAATAACAATCAAATATGCCAATAATTAAGTATGATAAATAACTAGGTTCTACTACCTTCACATAACATTCATGTCTGGTTAAAATAAAATTGTTTCAAGAACATTTAATTTTTTTATGTGATAGGTCGGCAAACGAACAGACGGATTACCTGATGGTAAGCAATCAGCGTTGCCCATGGACAACTGCAACAACGGAGGAGTTACGAGCGCGTTGCCGACCTTTTGGGGATAAAGGATTTGGAGATTTACGGATTAGGAGGGGAAGGATTGGGCCTCTGGTAACGGTCCGTCCTCTCTCACACGGCGAAACACAACGCTGTGGTTGTTTCACGCCGGTTTATACTCCGGTCGAGCCGACCCATTCGTGCCGAAGCTGACCTTCCCACAGTTATTTCATGACACAAACCGGCTACTATCCCTGTATGCACTATGGAAATGCACCCAAGGAGCCCGGTTAGTGTAGGACTATTGCGGATAATGGAAACAAGGGACAAGGCTGTGTTTATGAGTTGTTATGGACTGGTATGATGGGAACTATGGAAGGACTATGGCACCTGCCGAAACAATGTAATGTATAAACACATTAAATTGACAGATGGTGACTCGCCAACTCACCGACCTGGCCCTCGGGAACGGTCGCTAGTAATAGCAACAGAGGGACAACGGAAATGTAAGTAGCTGAAGGGTAAAGAAACTGCCAATAGCTTTCTACTCAGATTATTTGTATCTGCCAAAGCATCCTACATTACTACTGGCCCATTCTACTTATATTTTATTCGGCGTATTTATATGTATAAACAATGGTGATAAAATTTCGTGATAAACCGATAGGTGGCATTGACATCAATAAGATGATATCGAATCGCAGCACTTTTCCTCTCTACAAAGCAGAAAAAGGTAGCTGCGCGGTATTCTTGAACCGATACGACCTTCAAACCTTCAAGAAACATTATGCGTATAGTCCTTCTTAAAAGGCCGGCAACGCGCCTGTGACTCCTCTGGTGCTGCATGGTCCATGGGCGGCGCAGATCACTAACCACCAGGTGATCGATCTGCTCGTTTGCCTCCATGCTCGTATTCCATAAAAAACCGTATCCATGGCAACCATTTGACGAATTCTATGGCCAAGTTTTGTAAAGCGTATTGCAACGTCACATTCACCGAGACGTTTTGTAGGACTTTCTTAAACCCACCTTCCAAAATAATCTATACTAATATAACAAAGCTGACTAGTTTGTTTGTTTGTTTCAACGCGCTAATCTCCGGAACTATTGGTTGGAATTGAACAAATCTTTTTGTGTTTGTTAGTCTATTTATCGAGGAAGGCTATAGGCTATATAACATCACGCTATGATCTGTGGGAGCTGAGCAATGGGTATAAACCGCGTGAAAGCGATAAATAAAATATATTAATAAAATAAGATAAATACCTGTACCTCAACTAAATACGCATTAGTTACTTTAATTTTCCCCCCCGTCTGTGGTGGTCTATTGGCTCTTGAGCCCTAAGGTAACAAAATACACGACGTGTTACAATAAAATAGGTGACATAAATAAAGTCTTAAATTAGTCTATAAATAGCACTCAGTTTTCATCGGGGATATAGCTCAGTGGCAGAGCAATCGACTGCAGATCGATAGGTCCCCGGTTCAAATCCGGGTGTCCCCTACTCTCTTTTTAGATTTCAATGTAAAATGGCGTATTTGTGATATTTTTTTTTTATTCTTTTTACAAAATATGTATATATTGTTTTTCAAGAATTTTCAAAGAATTGAAATTAGTTTGTCGGTAAAAAATATAAATGGCGCGTAGCCATAGCAATATTTTCAGGAGCTTTAAAAACACAAAGCCGAACATTAGACGGATATGAATGGTTTGTTTGATTAATTGAGCGAGCTTATCTTTTGTTGATTCTTTACGGCAAAGGAGCAGACGAATCGTAAGCAATACGGTAGTTTGCAGGTCAAATTCAATACTATAAAAATGTCAAAAACGATAGGTACTTTTCTATGAAAAACTGAGTAATGCCGTCATAGTATTTTTCGTCAAATAGCTTACTTATTTCTTAAAAAACTGCTAAAAGATATCTAAAACTTAGTGTATCGACCGATCGATGAATAAAAGTATCTATAGTTATTTTTCAATGCTTTTTTTGTATTGAAACGTCGAATTTATTTATGTTTGACCTGGGAAACCACCCTATTGGCTTAGGACACCCGCCCCACTAGAGGAGTAAGTTACAAGAGCGCAAGAGCGTTAGCTTGCATTTTCAGAATTGGTAGATAAGTGGAGCAATGGTTGGCGATTAGGTATTTGTTATTGGAATTGGGATTATTTCCCATGATCGGGTTTGATCACGTAAAAATCCCATGGATCGCGAGAGGGTATGTCAGTCTATTACTGATTAAAAAACACCCCGTTCCTTCTCCTTCTCCTGCTCCGGAGCAAGAATCATTATTGCCCTTCCGCCCCTACAAATCTGTTTCCCCTTATTTATTTTCCAATTTTTTACAACAACATCTGTGTTTTATAAAAAAAGTTTTATTCGCTTTTTTCTACCAAAAACAGTTAAATTAAATAAAAAGTGAATTGTACGGCGTACCGGCGCGGTGTGACAGTGATAGCTTTTTTAAGGGATATACAAACGAGCATACGGATTACCTGATGATAAACAATCGAGAAAATATGATAAGCAAACCGCTCGTGTACACCCGCGTTACCAAAGAAATTACGAGTGCGTTGCCGAGCTTTTAGGGATAAGGGTTTTCCGGTCAGATCTAATGGCAAAGTGGAAGCCACGACTGTCGCAACGGAGGGCCGGGCACGCTGTTATAGCAGCGGTAAGACCCATCCTTCGAGGAGTAGCTTGAAAGATGCCAGGCGTCCTTCCGCCTGACGCAGGTGCTTACCGGGTACGGTAGCTTCGGTAGGTTCCTGTTTCTGATCCGGCGGGAGGAAACGCCTGAGTGTCGTCATTGTGATGACCACCCTGAGGATACGGTGGAGCATACGGTAGCGGTATGCCCTGCTTGGGCTGAGCACCACCGTGTCCTCGGGAAAGTGATCGGTAGCGGCGACCTCTTGCGCCCGGCCTTAGTCGAGGCTATAGTGCGTTCCGAGAGGAACTAGGAAGCCTTCTCCTCTTTCGGCGAAGCAGTGATGTGGACGCGGTGGTGGTGAGGCGGACCGCGTGAGGGGACTATCCTACTCACGCCCCAGCCCCCGCATGAGCGATATTCCGGGCGTCGGGGATCGAGAGATGATCTCCGGTCAACGTAAGCGCGGGTCTGCGGACGGCGAGTAAGGGTAGCTCGCTGCCCAACCAGAACATTCCGCGCGCGCCTTAAAGACCCAATAGACCACCACAGACGGGACTGATGTTTCAGTCAGGGTTGCGAGGCAAGCGCAATGAGGCACCGTGGCCACGGCCTAAAGCAGGCGGGAGAAGTCATTTGATGTCAAAAAGTCAAAAAAGTCAAAAATCATTTATTCCAATTAGACCTTTACAGGCACTTTTGAACGTCAAACAAAAATTTTGAAGCTATATTGTCAGTCTGTCGGTCAGTCCTCTTAGTGAAGCTATTTGCTCGTTCCAAAGTGTAGATTCCGATGGAGACGAACGAGCAAGAAACTCCATGGTTACTCTTTTTAAATCAGTTTCACATACAGATTCTTTATGATGATTTTCCCCTGACAAAAAATGGGATAAGGGTTTCGGCTAGTTAAGGATAGAAAGTGTGGTTATTTCACGCCGGTTTTCTGTGACGCCGTGGTATCACCCCGGTCGAGCGCCACCCATATGTGCCGAAGCTTGGCTCTACCACGTTTTAAGTCTTTGCTCTAAGAAAATACCTTTAATAATCTTTCATTTACTTTAAATGCCTAACATTTTTTTATTGCAAATTGTAACAATTATTCTATGTATATAAGCGCACTAGTTTCGCACGGGTGAAAAGCTGATACTAAATTTCTCTACTATGTAATGAATGGTGTAACAAAAGTAAAGCTTCTTCTTCATTCACTCTATCTACTTATTAAAAAAACCACATCAAAATCTGTTGAATATTGACAATACACAGGGATACAAGGCCAGAAAAAGCGACTTTTTTATATAGGTACATGTATGTACTATGTAGTGATTAATCAGATTTTTTTATGTGATAGGACTGCAAACCATCCTATGGATTACCAGATGGTAAGCAGTCAAGCGCCGCCCATGGACACTTAAAACAACCGATGAGTTACGCGTGCGTCACCAACGTTATTTTGGCTCTATAACTACCTAATGGATAGACCTATTGGCGATGCAAAGATTGTAACTAGCGCCTCTAGTGTCAAAATTGTGAAGCTGTTTAAGACGAGCACTTTGAAAGTTTTCCTAACAATTAACGTCAGGGAAAAAATTAATTATAAATAAAAATCAGAATTTAAGTGGCATTTTACTGTTTAAGGGCTGATTTTTCAATAGTCAGATAAATTATGTTACCTGAGGAACAAAATTGTTGCTGTCACTGTCTTATACAAACATTCTGACGCGAGAGCATCGTTTTTTTTTGTGGGGTCAAATCATCAAATGACTTCTCCCGCCCAGGGCCGGGCAGGAGGGAGTGTCAGACTCTTACTGACTAAAAACCCCCCTGTTCCTTCTCCTGCTCTGTGCCGAGGTCGCGGTGCCTCATTGCGCTTACCCCAACCCCGGCTGAACATTAGCCCTTTAGGCCCCATCTGTGGTGGTCTAATGGCTCTTTGAGGCGCGCGCGGAATGCTACGCGCCGTACGCTCGGGCCTGGTTCTGGTCGGGCGGCGAGCTGCCCTTACTTGCCGACCGCGGGCCCGTGCTTACGGTGGCCGGAGATCGTCCCTCGATCCCCGACGCCCGTAGTGTCGCCAGTTGCGGCTGCTGGGGCGTGAGGAGGAGGATTGCTCCCTCATGCGGGCCGCCTCTCTCTTTGAGCATGACTGCTTCACAAAAGGAGGAGACAGGAGACGGCGTCCCAGTTCCTCTCACTCCACACCATGGCCTCGACTAAGGCCGGGCGCGAGAGGTCGCCGCCGCCGATCACTTCCCTGAGGATACGGCGGTGCTCAGCTCAGGCAGGGCATACCGCTACCGTATGCTCCACCGTATCCTCTAGGTGGTCCTCACAATGACGACACTCGGGCGTTTCCTCCCGCTGGATCCGAAACAGGAACCTACCGAAGCTGCCGTGCCCGGTAAGCACCTGCGTCAGGCGGAAGGTGAGGACGCCGTGGCGTCTCTCAAGCCACTCCTCAAAGAGGTGTCTTACCGCTGCTAAAGTAGCGTGCCCGGCCCTCGGTTGCGACAGTCGCTGCTTCCACTCAGCCATGAGATCTCGCCGGAGCTCATTCCGCCACGCACTAATTTGGCGCGGCAAAGGATCTTCGCCCCGGTGACGCACGTCTGCGCGCAAACTGTAGACGCACGTCTGCGCGCAAACTGTAGACGCGCGCGAGCGCCTTCGCTTCTAGATCCCACGGCGGTGATCCGGCAAGGAGGTTTGCCGCCTCCCCAGGTTCGCCGCCTCCCCGCGAGAGCATCGTAATGATTTCACAAGTACCTAACTTTTATGTAACCATTGCAAAATCAGCCCTAAGACAATAATTATGCTGTCAATAGTCGATGTTTCTAAAAGTTCTATTTAATGAAAACCCGTAAAAGTAATTAATCTGAGAGGGTTAATTGCTTCAAAGCTGAACTATTCTCTTCCCTATAGGAAGAAACTGTATTTTAGTGCTTTTTTCTAATGGTACTTCTTTATCGGAGCTTATTTGAGAAATATTCTGAGACGGTACGACGTAAGGAAACAACTTGTGCCTGAATAACCATAATCTCGGTTTCTGACGAGAAACTCGCCTTCATCATCAGCCTATAAGTGCCCACTGCTGAGCAAAGGCCTCTTCTCATACGGAGAAGGTTAAAGCGTTAATCACCACGCTTGCTCAATGCGGGTTGGCCATTTCAAACTTATAATTAGAAATTATAAGTCCAGGTATCCTCACGATGATTACCTTCACCGTATGTCAGTGGTGTTTAAATAATAATTGAAAGTACATATAACTCGGAAAAAGTCACATTGGTACTTGCCAGGTTTCGAACCCACACCCTCATGCATGACAAGCGGGCTCCTTAACCTCCGGGCCACCACGACATAAACTCGCCTAAGTGAAAACTAAATTAATAAAATATGAAATACATATTAATATAATTTTATTGATGTAAAATAAAATAGTTAAAACATAATTATACTTTCTGTTTGGAAAAAAAGTTTAATGCTTGAAAATGATGAGAACAAACTCTCATTGATGGTGAAATTGGCTTGCATATTCTTAAAGCAGTCTTCCATTTTTTCTTCGTTTTTATCTTTTGGGAATGAATGAAAACTTATTCCCGTATCTCCGTAAGTACTACATTGAGGAACGCAAAAATATTTCGTATTTCTGCTTTTATTCGCAACAGGTTTCCGTGTCTAATCGTGATCCATCTGAATAATCCTACATAACTTCAATAAATAAGTAAACAAAGAGTGTCATCCCAAGACAGTTTCTAAATTTCGCCGCTAGAGGCGTGCGGATAATCTTTGCATCATCGTATCGTAAAATATATTTTTCGTGTATATACTTTACTCGCTGTAGCTTATGTCTGTAAAAAAACTTGTTGATGAACTAAGGATGGATGGATTAACTTAACAGCAAAGTTCCACACCTAAATTTAAAAAGTGTTAATTTGTCAAATTCAAAATCTTACTGTCAACGTCAAGTAAAAACAGTCACATCACATCACATTTTTAGTTGGTAGCTTGGTTGATTGTTGGTTCATTTTGTCTTGTGTATACCGACTTAGAAATATAATCATTCGGACAAATAAAATTACTATTAATTGACCAGGTGTACTAACTTGTATAAATATTATTATTTTAATACAAAAAAGTGTTAATTTAATACAAGAAAATAATCAAGTTAAGATGGTTGGAAATGAAGAAAAGGATATTAGCCAGAAGAATGGTTTTACGAACGGTATACTCAAAAACCCATCGATAAATTCATTAGATTATTTGTCTAATATTATGGAACTGGACATGAGCAATGGTAAAATACAAAATCTTGATAAAAATATTGAATTACCTTCAAGGTTGATCCATTTGAACTTGTCCAACAATAAATTGACTGAGGTGCCTACTAATGTGCTCAAACTGGATAACTTGAAATCCTTAGATATTTCCTTCAACTCGATTGTGTTTTTCGATGATATACCAAGTTTCTGCCATAGTATTGAAAAGCTTAACTTATCTAATAATTGCCTAAATGGTCCACCACTCTGGGTGTGGACTGAAAAGCCTATAAACTTAAAATATTTAAATATCAGTAACAACAAAGATTTATGCTCCACCTTTACAGATAGTTATTTAGATGAATTATCTCAGTACAAAACTCTAGTCAATGAAATAGATATTCATAATTGTAGATTAGGTAAACATGTGAAACTGCTGGCCTCATTTTGTCACACTAAGGTGATTACTCTTGGGAATGAGGAGTATGTGCACCGCCTTGTGAACAACTTGGATCACTTACCATGTGTTGGACTGGAGAACTGCAAGGATGTAGAAATAATGAATCTCACCAATACACAGTTGTTCCACATTTACCCTAGTATTGATATTTACACTAATTTAAAAGAATTAAATCTCTCACAAAATAATTTAAACAGTTTACCAAATGAATTCTGCAAATTGGTTAAGTTGGAGACTTTTGTAATGTCATATAATAGACTGCTCTACCTGCCTGACAATATGTGTGAATTAACTAATTTAGTCACACTGCAATTAGATAATAACAAACTATGTATGCTACCGGAAAACTTGCTTGAATTACCTAATCTCAGGATCTTAGATTTGTACAATAACAACTTATATGAAGGACCAAGCAATGTGAATTTGGAAGAAGTGGATTTAGCTCATAATCACTTTGATGAGCCTGACAGTGAAGACTATTTGATGAAGAAAAAAAAGTTGCGAATAGGTAAACTCGATAGGAAAGATGGCAGGTTGGTAAACTAAGTCACTATAGTGACTTTTGCTTACACAACAGTACTCATATAACACATTTTGATTTTATTTTTATTTTTTCTTCTTCTTAAAAGATTGTTGCCCCAAACTCGATTGAGAGTGATTCAAGATTTTCTCCTGTGTCGTGGATGTGGTTACAAACATACATTTCAGAGAGTTGACTGTTGCAATTAAGTTAAATTGTACAGAATGTGCTTAATCTCTTACTTGGCAATCATACTATTTATATAATAGAGAGAATAACCTTCTTCCACTGTCAATTTTGTAATCATACTAATTGATAGTATGTTCAATTTCAGAAAAGTAGAAGAGATCAGTGAAGAATGGGAGAAAACCTCATCATCCAGTGACGAGGAAGAGCTTAATGACTTATCAAATGATAAATTTATACAAGATGACCAAAAAGGTGGGTTACAAATTTATCTATATTAAAATATTTACTATTAGATGTAGTAACATATGTATAATATCTTTTTACCAATTTTCGCCTGAAACACAAGTTGTCCTAGTTCAGGCACCCAATATTATAAACTTGGTATAGCTCTAAGCACTGTATATTCTAGATTATGAGTTTTATTTTTTATTTTATTTATTTTATAACAGCACAATGCGCCATATTATCAATATTATGCCAAAATATATAAACCCAGAGACATTACAAGAACCAACATGTAGGTAATTGCTTATTACAGATTAATAATAATTGACAATATTTAGGTTAGGCTATACCTAAACATTAATAAAATTTAAAGAAAAGTCTCGATCAAATGTACTCTCTGGAAAAGGTTGTGTCTTCGATTTTCTTGTACTTTATGTGATTCGATCGTGGCCGAGAAGATCGGACAATACATAGCTACAAAAGTAATTGGTTGATTCGAGTTAAAAATAATTTTTTTTATGCGATATGTCGGCAAATTTACTAAAGGATTACCCGAATGGAATGCAGTCCGCGACGCCCATAGAAACCTGAAATAACCAAGGAGTGACGAGTGCTTCCGACCTTGTAGGGATTAGGAATTAAGATATTTTGGGATTGGGGAGAGCAAGGATTGGGCCTCTGGTAACCTCATTCACACAGCTGTGCTCACATCGCTGTGGGTGTTTTACGCCGGTTCAATGTGAGGCCTTGGTATCACTCCGGTTGAGCCATTTGTTCCGAAGGATGGCTCTTATCTATATCTTATGATAAAAAAAAGTGGACTTTTTGTTTGGACACCTGGCACTGGCAAAAATATAATATATCTATCAATTAAGTACATGTTCCAGATGACCGAGCTAGCTCTCCTGAAGATTGGGACTCTGATGAATATTGGATTCCTCAGTACTACAAGCCACCTTCTCCGCCGCAGTCACCCTGGCTGTATTTCGTCAAAAAGAAAATGAAAGAGGGGAATTTCTGTCCAATGGATGCACACACCATTTCAATTTCAGAATTAGTAAAGTATGACCAACTGTACAATCCTCATCTTGTACACAGCTTGGATTGGAACTCTGATAATTATTCCGATGATGATAGCTGATTATAATTGGTTCCTTCTTTCTATATGCATGCAATTTTCTGTACTTACCAATCAGATCAGCTTTTTGTATAACTTTGATATTTTTTTATCTGTGGTGCTAGATGGCTAAATGACTAGTTTATTCCAATCTGTGGCATTACCAATTCTATGTTAAATAATAGACAAATGAGAATTTTGAAATGATTGTTTAATTAAATTACCAGATTGAAATGCAATTCTTTAAAGTATTATTTTTTTGTGTACTTAGATAGATCTACCTTGCATGTTACACGACAAACTTTTATTTTATCTTTGTTACTGTTTTGAGGTTAAGTATTTTTTTTCGTCAATGATCTCAATTAATATGATAATTAGGTTAGGCTAAGTATGTAAATCATGTTTATATACAAGTTAATATTCTTACAGATATATTATATTTTTTGTAGTATGTGTGCATGTACGTTATGTAGTGTTTAAGCAGTTAAGTTTTTACATCCTTGCTTTATTTTGTATTTGTTACAAACCATTAATTGATGTATGAGGGATATGATAGGTATATCATTATAAATAGATTTATGATACCATATTTTCAAATTTTTTAACAACAACCTCATGATGACTAAAGAGTTATTTTGGAAACTATCTCTAATTTTAACGAAAGACGTAAGTAAGTTAGTAGGCGCCAACTGCCACAATCTTTTTTTATATATAAATAAAAAACATTGCCCCACACTATTATTTTCTTCTGTGTGCGGTTTCAAACATACAATTTCACATACTTACACATCTCACCCAGAACAACAATTTGTGGATCACACAAAGAGTTGTTTCGTGCGGTAATCAAACCCGCGACACGTTGAACGGCAGCCAGTTACCCAGCCACGGCCATATTATTAACTAGCTACTCTCGCACGGTTTCACCCGCTGCTCAGCGCCTACAGATCGTAGCGTGATGTTTTATAGCACTCAGAAATACATACAAACTTACAAATTTTACCTCTTTAAAATATTAGTATAGAAAGGTCATAGGTAAGTGTGCCATATGATTTTGGCCTTCTATGCCAGCTTCTGTACTATCAGTAAAAATAAATTTCACTGAACCTAATCAGCAGTTGCACCGCATCGTGGCTGGAAGCAGGAGTTAGTAACAGGGTGGTTTTAGTAAATAAGAATCCACTTTGCATCACCCAAGCCGGGAAAAGAAAATGGATACCTAGTTTTTCCCTAAGAACAAGACGCACATTTACGACAGTCATAACGCCGCTACTGGTCGTATAGTCTGTGACATGCCCAAAATTTACGTGTCACAAATGGCACGCGGACCCATGGTTCGCCATCCCTAAAGATATGGCAATACAATATTGGTAACTATTTGTGATGGTATACCTTTACCATTACTTTGGTAATTCTACCATTCTAGTAGCAACTCAATGTCCATAATACTCATTATTGCAACTCTATTTTCATGACTGCACACTTTACCGTACATGTTACCGTGACCGTACTTTCACTCTTCAACTAACAGCCTGAAAGAGAAATTCGGCTATTTATTCAGGCCTTTATTTGGATGGCTAATTACCTAAGCTAGTCAACAACATTCGTATATATTATTAAACTATATTATAGCAACATACATATTATTAAACTACCATTAAATCTATAATTCAAATAGTTATAGTTTCTTGCTGCTCACATATTTATGTAAGATTGTAAATGGTTCAAACCAATTTCAACTTGCGAAAACTAGCTGAAATAACTTTTATTTTGCTGTAATAAGTATTATAATAAAAAAAACATTAACTTAAAAACTAATTGTTTTATTTATTTCATTCAAAATTTCTTCTTGTAAACTGTTTCTGTTCTCTCTTGTTACCTAAAAACACAAATGGTCAGTCATCTGTTAATTAATCATAGATTTGAAATTAAAATAGCCATGGCAAGACCATAATGTCATCATGGGGGTATTAATTTGCAATATTTAAAATATTTTTCAACAAACTCTAAGGTTGCTATCCCACTGGCTTTCACCAGCGTTGATACGTCAATGTCGTCGTCTTTGCACAACGTCGAAGCCGCTGGCCAGAGTACCATCAGATACACAATGGATTCCCATGAGAAAACACTACTGTTGGGTTCACTACAATAAAACAGAATAATATACTATAGAGTATACAAATTCTTTGCTAGGTCTTCTCTGCAAATATTCTAAAATTAATATTTTTATTTACCGTCCAAACTCTAGCCTGCTTATGGTTTCTTATAGATTCTATTAACTGGTCGCTTTTTCTAACAGGGATAGTTGCCAGTACGGTATAATCTGAAGAAGGACTGAAAATATTATGTATGGTATTCTTGAATTTTTCACTGAAGAACTCCATTTTTCCTATTTCATCAATGACGAGTAAGTGAGCTTGACTGTCATTCGGCTGTAAACAAGTAAAACCTAAGTGATACAAAGCTTATTAAAAAAAAATAACAGAACTTCTATGGACACTGGAAATAAATTAATTTAAAGTTCGAAAAATGCAATCAACTATAAATTAGATATAGGTAGGTAGTAATCACCTTCACAAGAGAGGGCAAAGCAATTATTTCAAATTCCTCCACCAGAACTCCATATTTCCCAACTTTATGTTTAACGGGATTTTTCAACAAGTTCTGATCTCTAGCCAATCTACCTCTTGCACCATCCAAAGCCACCACATCAAACCCCTCTCTAATACGATCATATCTAACTTCTTCAGTGTAGAATCCCGAGGTTTTAACACCCTTACCTACAATCTCCTTTACTAATTTTTTTGTCAGCGTAGTCTTACCGACACCTGTAACAATAAAATTAGAATCATTTGAAACAATCAATGTATTTTATTCTTTATTTTATCGTCATTTATTAGCTAACCAGGTTCTCCGGTCAAAATAAAATATTTATAAGTTTTTGAAGCCATTTTCGACAGTCAGCAATAATATTTAAATTTCCTATTGCTAAAATGTACTCTGTGTATTTAAATTACGCTTTTGGTTATTATCTCCAATAAATCATTCGAACGAATTAAAATTAGAATTCGGGTAAAAATCTTGTTGTAGTAGTCATTATACAACTAGGTATTTGTTTATCTTTCATTCGTATTTTCATAAACGTCAAAATCATAAAGTTGAAGTTGAATCACACGTTTTGTATCTTCTTGCAGTATTTTAAAATAGTCAGATCAGCAGGCTATCAAATTTTAATCGTTGTATGAATAAATACGTAAATTATCAATTAGATGCAATCTTGTAATAACCCTTTATGTTTTATCAAAAAACGTTTATTATCATATAGTTTCAATTTCAAAATTTTTTTTGCAAGAAACTAAACGCTATTGACGTTTACAACCACTGATAATACGTAGAAATTAAGAAGCTATACATTTCTATGGAACGTCTTTTATCCTGCATGCTTATTTAAAAATCGTATTTTAGAGCACCTAAGAATGTAACTAATTTTCTTCTCTTTCACACTACATACATATTCATATTTTTGTTTCTTTTGATCTCGTTTTCAATATTCTTATCATAACTTATCGTAGTATCAAAGTTCATTCTTCCGAAGTTATTTTCGCCGGTGTTAAGTTTTATCTGGCTTGTATATTGTTCAGTATTGGATAAGAAAGGCGGCGTTATAGTCGTTAAATAAAACTGAATACAGAAAATGGCCTCCGTCGGTGCTGTAACCCGTATTTTGTTGGGGAAACATGTGGTGAGCAGAGTGGCAGCTACCAATTCCGGTTCTATTAAATTTTATAGTACTGGTAAGCTATCAAACTTTCTTGTATCTATAACTTTTAAGAAAGATAATATTAACCACGCTTCATATACTGTGTGATGTAAGAGATAACAAAACTAAGATCACGAAAATATATAACATTTTCTACTCAACTGTCTTCAATTATTTAGGGAAAATACTTTTTTTACTATTGTTTGCGGTAACTGGTCATTTGGTCATTTTTCACTTATGTTGCATACAGCCCAAACTTTGCTTTGCCAAATAAACCTATGATGTGCACAACTGAAATACTTGCTCAGACCACCAAAAATTAAAATACATAATGATAATATAGTATTTACTTCATTAAAACCCAAGTGAATACCAGCATTTGAGCACCTTCTTCTATTGTTTCAAATTAGTAAATTACTCAGGTGCAAGTTAAATATTATGATAAGTACTACTCATATAATTTATATAAGTTATTTAAGGTCTTAATAAATAAATGAATGTAAGTATTTTAAATATTAATTTAATCACTATTAACAACTGAAGTCAAATCAAATCAATGGTAAAACTCTTCCAAGTTAAAAAGTATCTTGAAAGCCAACTTTTTTTTGACAAGTGGTCATTTTAAGTTCTAAGTTTAAAAACTATTGGCCATGTCCATAAACTAAAATGACCATTACAATATTACATTTAATATAATAAGGAGGTAAATAATTTATGTAACCTTGACAATATTTTTTTTTATCTTATCACTACCACTGTGTTAAATTGGAGGAAGATTACACTGCCATGATTAAATTTATTATTCAATAAACATGATGATTTGCTATTACCTACTTAAATAACCAACATAGGTAGATAAACTATTTGAATTTCTTATTCACTATACTTACACTTAATTCTATCTTCTTAGAAAACCCCTTTTTATTAATAAATTTTGTTCATATTTGAAGTTATAGAAAAATAAAAGGTTGAAAAGTAATAATGTGTAGTGTTAAAATATTATAGATTTGTATCAATGTTCTTAGTTGAATAGACTTAAACTAGGTATTTTACAAAAACATCTGTTATTAAAATGAATAAATTCATGTTAGATTTCTTTATTAGCTCATAAGCATAACTTTATTGTTTTGATATAAGGTCGAAAATACTATGATTAAACTGGAATTAGAGGAAAGAACAGGCTTGTCTTGTACACCTGCTTTAGTTTTGCATTAATTTGTCTCTTCATCACCCAAACTTGGTTTCACTGGTAGACTATAGTAATGGCATTAAGTTCACCTTATGTACAATATATTATTACTCACATATGAAGCATATAAAATAAATAGGATAAATTATTTTATTTCCTATTTTTATCTTTTTCAATTACATTTACAATCTGAGTAATTAATTAACAAAATTTTGTAATTACAGATAGATGTTTGTTACTCTTTCATGAATGTAAACAGCCAGTTACGTAATAGTTTGGCTGGAATAAGCTATCAGCTATTTATGCCATGGGTTCATGGTACTGCAGGCGAAGCCGTTGGCATATATATTACATTATAATTACTTATATATCTTATTATAAAAATCTTTCTACAGCGCCAGCATATGAAAACATCAAAGTAGAAGTTGTTGGTAGCAAGAAGAATGTAGGTCTGATCCAGCTCAACAGGCCTAAGGCCCTTAATGCTCTGTGTGGCCCACTCTTCGTGGAGCTCGGCCAAGCCGTGAGGGACTTCGACGCTGATGAGAAGATTGCTGCCATCATCATTACTGGTAATTAATTCCTTTGTTACCTAAAAGAGATTTTGTTTATTTTATATCGCGGTACACTTGTAGTCGAACTACCTGATTATACGAAATCGACGCCGCCCATGAACACTCTTAAAACCATAGGATAGCATTTCTAAAAATCTATACATTCTATTTTAGTTGTAGTACAGACATCATATCTTTTTATATTCCGGCTTTTCGGTAACTTTATAGGTAAAGGTACCTAAGTTAAAAAAAAACAAAACGCTGGGTCCCGAGTGAACCGCTTTCTGCCCTAGTGCCAATTATTAAAAGACTACTCGAAAATTCTTGGACTTGCCTAAATCTTTCTTTCATAAAACCTTCTACTGACAATAACACACTATACGGCGTTGTTGAGTTGAGTTATGCGCTTACCAATAAATGTAATTCATTTGTATTAATATAGATATACCTACATTAAAGTGTGTACTTATACTTACGAATTTATGAAGATGACCCGGACGGTCATCCGATCATAAATGTCCGTGAATATCCACTCACATCGGACGATGTCTATTACCATGCCGGCCCGGATTGTTATTATCCTTTTTATAATCATCACATTTTTACGTAATACCTAAGCATAATACGCCCAGTAACGTAATCTAGTAGAATAAGTGGTGTGGCTCATATCAGTAGATAATTTGATTAAAAAAAACAAAATCATCTACTTGACTTAACTACTTAAATAACTAGCGGTCGCCCGCGGCACCGCCTACGTGGATATCGACTATACATACACTCCTTGTTTTTTAATTTTCCACCTGCGTACAACCCTTTTCTGGACTTCCACGAATAATTCAAGACTAAAATTAGATAAATCGGTAAAGGCATTGTTGAATTATAGGTAAGTATAACATTAAAACTTAAAACGAAAAGAGGCATTGATTTTTATAATTATGCGAGTAAGTGAAGTGTGGGAGATGCATCCATGCTTACGGCCGCACAGAAAATCGACGTGAAACAACCACACTCCACAGCGTTGTGTTTCGCCGTGTCAGTGAGGTTACCGGAGGCCCGATTGGCCAATCCTTCTCCTCCCCCAATCCCTCCTCATTCCCACAATCTCCAAATTCAATCTTATGTACCTAGGTATGAACTTATCTATATTTTTAGTTTCGTCGCTTGAGAACTCGTCGTTTGTTTGAAAGATTATATTTCCAAAGCTTTTGTTAAATGAAACCTTCAGTATAGAGCTACCTGGTTTTCACATACAAGTCGTCCCCCTCCCCCCACAACCTAAGGTTCACACAAAGAATGCCTAAAGAAATTTAAGGTAGTCAAACCCGTGACACGTTGCTGAGTTAGCCACTTAATACGCCAAGCGTGTGTATTCATATAACTATGAGTAATTCAACTAAATATGTGTACAGCAAAATCCGTCGTTTTCTCTTATTCCTGTCTTAAATCTTGATAATATATATTTTTTAAATCTTTATTTTATAATTAGGGCTTTTTTCCAAACAGAATATTTCAGCCCTATTATTGAATACAAAATTCAGTACTTACTTATCTACTTATTAAGCTGCTAAACCATTCATAGGTTTAACTAGCCCTTAGGTTAAACATAAAATAATTAGATGATACAATTTTTTGGCCTCAGATGATAATGGTGACGCTAACACACTATGATAAAAACCAATATCACAACTCTTAAAACTAAAATCCTGATATCTCTGAGACTCAATACGACGACACTAATACCACAGCTAATACAAAATGCACGTCCTCTACAACACCACACACACATGAATGCAAAACTATTTGAGAGGTATATGTCCACATCGGAGCCTTAAAGCCGTGACGATTTCTTGCCTACTCATCCCGCCCTCACCGAACCAGAGAGCTCGAGGAAGCGTCGGCTGTAATGTTTTATACCAAATGCCTTTAGTAAGTGACCTCTTGTCTAATTGATATTAATTGTTTTAATAAGTAGGTAGGTATAAATTCGAAAATCCAATGAAAAAAATTCAGATCGGGGTAGGCTACGATACCTACATACATATTTTAATAGGGTAACTGGCAGTCTTGAATGCTTGAAAATCAACGAGATTCCGTGATTCAAAACTTAATTTTGTTGTGTAACAAAGAACCGACCGACAGGCAAACCTATATTAAGTGGTTAACATTCAAACATTACAACGAGTATGTTTAACTGAAATCATTACTATTATTTTAATTTTCCCTCGTTACAAGCATCGGTACTCTAGCCTCCAGCCCTTTAGGCTAAGAGAGTCCTGATCCGTGCATTTGATCGTGTGAAATTGCCGATATTTTTGAAATTGTGAAGAAAAGTGGTACTTAAATATATTTTTATATTGTTTTTCTACTCGTAGGTAATGAGAAGGCTTTCGCTGCCGGCGCTGACATCAAGGAGATGCAGAACAACACTTTCAGCCACAACACGAAGAAGGGATTCCTCAAGGACTGGGAAGATGTGTCCAACTGTGGAAAACCGATCATCGCAGCTGTTAATGGATTCGCTGTAAGTAAGAGAACACAGATCGGAGACATAGATATTTATCTATCAATAATAGTACTATTATGATCGAAGCTTACACAATCATCTATATATATTTATAACTACTCAATAATTATTTACGAATTCAATAATTATTGATTGCGTTTGTTAGTCCGTTTATCGAAAAAGGCTTTAGGCTATAAAACACCACAATATGATTTGTAGGAGCCGAGCAGTGAGTGAAACTGCGCCACAGAAGCTGGTACTCAATACAATTTAAAATGACTTTATTTTGTCTTTTCCAGCTGGGCGGCGGTTGCGAGCTGGCTATGCTCTGCGATATTATTTACGCTGGCGAGAAAGCCAAATTCGGACAGCCAGAGATCAACATTGGAACCATTCCCGGGGCTGGTGGTACCCAACGTTTGCCCAGATACGTTGGCAAATCCAAGGCAATGGAAATTGTTCTCACCGGCAACTTCATTGACGCTGCCGAAGCCGAAAGAATGGGTAAGTGTGGATGTAGAACCCCCAAATCCCCCAATCCACAAATTCCTAACCACTAAGTTGTGAGTGTGAGACAAGTTTTTAAGACGAAGAGAAGTCCTGCAACTACTGATTGCACGATTGGCGCAGAAGCTGGGCAACTGACTGCCGCGCAACGTGTCACGGGTTCAATTCCCGCACGTAACAACTCTTTGTGTGATCCACAAATTGTTGTTCCGGGTCTGGGTGTCATGTGTATGTGAAATTGTATGTTTGTAACCGCACCCACGACAAAATAAAGTTTATAAAGAAAATAATCATTATTATTTTCTTTGTAAACAACCACCTTTTATGTCTATATCAGTCTCATAATTATGCCCCAATTCATCCTATATACAAATCTGTATCAAATAGCAGATAAGATTTGCGCATTGCGTCGCAATAAACTCCCTCTTGGGGCGGGTTTAACCCCAAGTGGATAAAAAAAACCGCACCCACGACACAGGAGAAAATCTTATGTAGGGCAACGTTTTATAAAAAAAACTCACTTGTAACTCTTCGAAACACCGATGTCCAGCGCGTCCCAGGTCCCAGGGACATGTGCATCCTGTGCATCCTGTGATTGTATCCAGCAAGGGCATTGCCTTTAATTCAATGAAGTAGACAGAATAACTTTAGCCTTGATTTTGTTATCCAGGTCTCGTGAGCCGTGTGTTCCCAGTTGATAAACTGTTGGAGGAGACCATCAAACTGGCGGAGAGGATTGGCACCCATTCCCCCCTGATCGTGAAGATGGCCAAGGCAGCCGTCAACCAAGCTTACGAGACTACCCTAAAGTCAGGCCTACAGTTCGAGAAAGCTTACTTCTATGGAACGTTTGCTACTGTGAGTAAACTTTCAAATACATTTTTATATTGATTTGTTTCAGCACTTCATACCTACCACTCAGTTCATACAAATTTCGTTTTTTATTTAAACTAGCGAGCCACCCTGGCTTTGCACGGGTAAAATGCTTTTACCACATTTCTCCACTATTTAATGGATGTTATTATACCTACACATTAACCCTTCCTCTTTAATCACTCTATCTATTTAAAACACAGCGTCAATATCAGTTGCGTAGTTTTAAAGATTTAAGCATTCATAGGGATAATAGGGACAGCGAAAGCGACTTTATTTTAGTAACATAGCAACTATGCAGACGTTGTTAAGCAGGCTCTTAAAGTTTCATACAGAATATAAAATTATCTTTTATGTCTGCGGAATTAAAAAAATATATAAAAATAATAAAAAGAAAATCCGCCGATTATTGTTTTTTTTTCACTGCGACTTTTTGTGCAATAAATTGCGCTCTCTATATGACCATACGGTGACTAACATTTAGTTTTGCAAGCCGACAACTTCATTGCTATAGAAATCTGAACTCTAATATCCATTTTTATGCTTAAATAAATCTGAAATCCATATTTTCCTTCCATTGTCACTCACGACTAGTTTCAGTCAAAAGTCACGGTCACAAAAAATTCGTAATAAAAAAAAATCTATAATTCGCCCGCGGCTCCGACCGCTTGGATGTCGATGTTACACTTTTTCAAGATTTTTTTTCTCATCATACAAACCATTTCTGGACTTCCACGTACTTAAATTCAAGACTAAAATTAGCCAAATCGGTAAAGGCATAGTTGACTTAAAATGTTACAACGAAAAGTGGCATTGATTTTTATTTAAAAGATTATACCTACTAAATGTGTGACTTTTATTGCAGGAGGACCGCAAAGAAGGTATGACGGCATTCGTGGAGAAGAGACCACCAAACTTCAAGAATGAATAATTTCGTAACATGTTTTAATGTTGCATTTTCTGCATCTCCTGTATACTGTAAGACAAGGTGCTAATATATACATTGTAGACACACATCACCTGTTATCCGATTTGCATTTTGTTTATAATAAATGAATTTATTTTTTGATTACTTTTTTTTTATTTTACTAATTTTCCCCTTAAACTTACGTATCTGTCAATATTATAATAAAAGTAGAAACCTGCTCCAGCTTCGCACGAGTGTAATGCTGATACAAAATGTTCGCACTATTCAAATCATCAAACCCCAAGCGAAGGCTTCAAATTTCTATTGCATAGACTATACAACATATACATTCAGTCAACAAAGTATCGGGAATGAATTTTTTTTTTTATGGTTGCAAATTCGAATTTTAATTTTTTTTGTTGTTGTTAGATTGGCATAACTGTTTTGCATTTTGGCGCGGGATTTGAGTTGCATCTGTTATTTATATTAAAAACAGTGCTGTTTTTAGTTTTATAATATCTAGTGTGTATTGCGAATTTCATAATGGACAAAAACATCGAACAAAGAGTTTGTCTTAAATTTTGCATCGCCAATGAAATTTCGTGTTCGGAGGCACTCAAAATGTTACAGAAGGCTTAGGGTGAATCGACTTTATCAAAAACACGTGCTTATGAGTGGTACAAAGCGTTCAAAAGCGGTCGAGATGTGATGGAAGATTTGCCTCGTTCTGGTAGGCCATCAACGTCTGCAACTAAAGTTAACATCGCAAAAGTGAAGGAAATAGTGACTGAAAATCCTCATTCAAGTTTGAGAGAGATGGCCGCCGAACTTTCTGTATCTCACGAGTCGATCCATACCATTTTAACAAATAATTTGGGTATGAAACGTGTTGCCGCTCGGCTAGTCCCAAAAGACCTGAATTTTCTTCAAAAACTAAATCGCATGAAAGTCGCTGAGGACATGCTAGAACGAGTCAATACCGACCCAACATTCATGAAACGCATTGTTACTGGTGACGAGACGTGGGTTTACGAGTTTGACATGCAAACTAGTCAACAAGCTTCGGAATGGCGCCTTCCAACTGAACCAAAACCGAAAAAACCACGTCAAAGTCGATCAAAAGTCAAAGTCATGTTGACTGTTTTCTTACTATCGCGGTGTTGTGCACTCAGAATTCTTGCCCGGAGGTCAAACGGTAAATAAAGAATATTATTTGAGCGTTATGCGGCGTTTAAGAGAACAAATTCGACGAAAAAGGCCAGAAATGTGGAAAGAAAATTCTTGGATTTTGCATTACGATAATGCGCCTTCGCACAAGGCCATCATTGTAAACGATTTTTTGTCCAAACACTCAACAAACACCATCGAGCAGCCACCATATTCACCAGATATGGCTCCAGCCGACTTCTTTCTTTTTCCCACACTCAAATCACCCCTTCGTGGCACCCGTTTTCAATCGTTAGAAGACATAAAGGAGAATTCGCGGCGAGCACTGAACTCAATTCCGGAAACAGTGTTTAAAAAAAGTTTCGATGATTGGATTATTCGTTGGCGTAAGTGTATCGTTTCTGAAGGAGCATACTTTGAAGGTGATAAAATAAATTTAGATGAATAACAAACATTTTGTGTGTTATTGACTATTTCCCGGTACTTTCTTGACAGAGTAGTACATACTGAGATTATATCTATTGTGTCTCGAATGACCACGATGAACGGTTAAGTAATGGGTATTAAGTATTATACATCTAAACCATCCGCTTTAATCGTAGTATTATAGATTTAAACCATACATCTATACTCATATTATAAAGAAGTAAAATTTGTAAGTTTGTATGTAGGGGGTAATCTTCGGAACCGCTGGTCGGATTGCCAAAATTATGTCACTGATTGTGAGCTACAATGATCCTGAGTGCTATAGGCTATAAAACATCACGCTACGATTAAATGGAGCCGAGCAGCGGGTGAAACCGCGCGAGAGTATCTAGTAGGTACTATACATCATAATTATGTACATTCTAAGATGTTTTTTCACTCGCAATAAACTAGTGCTTGACTGCGATTCCACCTAATGGTAAGCAAAGATGCAATCGTTGATGGTAAGGCGCACTAGTTTATTAAGAGCCTTGAAGCAACCTAACTTATATTTGGACGGAAAGACTGCAGCCGGCAAACTGTTCCAATCCCTCGATGTACGCGGTATAAATGACGAGACAAAACGCTTAGTCCGGGCCGCAGGTGTCTCAACAAGGTAATGGTGGATATTTGTCGTACGCCGGGATGTGCGAAGGTGAAATTGGGATGGCAGAATCAAATCGTGCAATTCCTGCGCACACTCTCCAAAATGCATCCTGTAGAAAACCTGGCTACTCTGCGTCTGTGCTCGAGACACGACTGCACGGCTGGCATAGTGGCTGGGCAACTGGCTGCTATGCAACGTGTCGCGGGTTCGATTCCCGCCCGGAACAAGACTTTATGTGAAGGCCTTGCCAATGGCCAAAAAATTCTATTCTATGAAAACGTTTTTGAAACGTTAATTAAAAAATATCTATTTAATAGACACCCCTGACTGACAGTAAAGACAGTAAAGTGCGTGAGGAAACTGGAGACATATAAACAGTACCTACTTTAATAATATGTGTTTTATTTTTATTAGCTGATAGTTGTTATTCTATAAGTCTCAAAAAAATTTCATATTTAATGTCATGCAGACTTGTAATGTTGTTCAATTGCTTGTATTTATTGAGGGTTTTGTAGGTACCTATAACATTGGGTGATTGTGTTGTTGGTGTGCTTATTTTAAAATAAATATAATTTCGTTCGCGTAGGTAGCTGGTGTCTCCTACAATATCTAATCAAGTTTACGCTTCAGCATGATTATCGTATACCTACGTAAAAAAGACCTACTTAATAAAACACACTGATAGGTAATCTCTAACAATTAAAATCTTAGGTTGGGCTAAGTATTTGTTTTGGTTGTCACGAAAGTCGTTTTTGGTCCTCGTGGCTTCTCCCAAAAGGCAGAAGACGGCCTAAGACGGCACGAAAGCTGAGTTTTTTAGTGGGTGCAAGCCCCACATAACCTCACCGTCTCCCCGGGCGGTGTGTGTATGCGTAAGGCATTTTTCTCAGCTAGAAAAAAAAAAAAAGTATTTGTTTTGGTTATTTTATTATAAAAAAAACATCCAGTGTTGAGCAGTGCCCTCATGGCTCCTTCCCGGTGACGTAGAAGGTACGCCGAATTAAAAATACACTGAAAGTAAATCTCTACCTACAGCTTTGAAGTAATTTCGTGGGATCTGATGATACTGCGCAATTATTTTACTATATTATGAACAAGATAGTATAGTATTATTGAGTGAAATACCTCAACTATAAAACGATAGGCGCCCTAGTTTTGTAGATAGCGTTAATAAAACATTTTGAACAGAATTGCTTTAAAAAATATTTATTTATTTATTTAATAAAGGTACACCAACAGCTTCTGTATATAGCAAATTAAATAAAACAATGAAATATTAGGTTTTGGCCTTATACAGTCGCCAATTACGGGTAACCAGCATTCTTAAAAATAAAGTGATAACCTAGTAGAGTAAGAACGAAACTATCTATTACAATAACATAATTAGAATTATATAAAAAATATTATAACAATATTAGAATTGTAATATAATTAAACAATGAAATGGAACATGAAATTAGAAAATAAGTAGGTAGGTATACATAAATGCAAGGAATGAGATCAGTAGGAAATACTTAATTCTACTTAAACTTATATTACATACTAACAGAAACATAACTGATTAAGTGGTGAGGTTCGGGATTCAATATATTATTTGGGTTTTAAAGACTTTTACAGAATCGTGATATATGTCAACATTTGGAACGGATTTTATAAAATAATTCATCTCTCGGGTAAGCCTATTGAGAGGCGAGTTTACTCCTAAATTTGTGTTCGATGCTTTTGTGTGGAATAGGTGTGTAATGGGATATATATATGTAAATATATGTGCCCTAAAAAATTAAAATTACTCTTCCTTTATCTAAACATTATTTTGACGATAGCATAAAATATAGTTATAAGTTTGCAATGGCATTTACGTTTTGCAATTGCAACCTTTGCTTGTCAATAATGGCGTCAACAACGGTCTAATTGGAATCTGTCAAAATGTTATACTTCAAAGTAAAGGAGTTTAGTTAATGTCAAAATGTGTACGTGGTTTGCAAAAAAAAACTACATCTCAATTTATCAGTATAAAATGATATTCCTGCTAGTTTGTTATGTTCGCATGAATTTCCTTGTGTTTTAATAAATTAATTTGCATTGCTAGCCAATTTGTTGATAATGCGAAAAGAACTCTACAATCAGTTGTATGTGTAGTTTTGTTGTGTAGATAAGTGAATCTCGTTTTTATTTTTAAGAATCTGTGTCCATGTTTTGGGATCATGTTTACCGTAACAGGCACATCATGCAAGAGTTTGAAGACATAGAGGTACACAAAACCAGTGTATCAGTGTTTGTTGCCCTATTTTATTTAGAAATGCTTTACATTTTAATCATGACGCTGTCTATTCTAAATAGATTGAATCAAAACTTACCGTCGTAAACTTACCAGAGTTACCTATATTTACATTAGCCGTAAGTACCTTATTTATTAGCATATTATTTATTATTACTGTTTGTATACTCCAGCAGATATATTGGACTTATTTTTGTTACCATTTATTGATATCATACAAGAAACATGCCTCAAAAAAATAAACAATTAACATACAAATTATAAAAACCAAAACTGACATGAATCAATAAAAAAAAAGTGTGTATAAGTGATTTTATAAGCATACATTTTTGATAATTGAGTACTTACCTAATACAAGTTATAAATAAAAACATCATCTGTTGCTATGGCTAAACAATCCCTCTTTCTTCTAAAATAAGAGAAAGAGAAAGATCAATAAATTGTATGTATTCTTAGTAGCCACCCACAGTAAGCATTGTGAGGAGATAATGGACTCAGACAATAGTTGCTAAGATTCAGTATTGAGTGCTCATCTGCTCTATACAAGTGTCACAGAACCTGGTTTAAGGATACAAAAAAGAAAATATTAATTAAGTAATGAAAATTACTTAATGTGTGAGAAATTATGAAAGAATAATTTTCAGTTTTAGTTACAATAAACCAAGATGATCCGTAAACCAAATATCCAGGGCAGATTTTATCTTTCACAAAATGAAGAAGACACCATCTACCTAGACAATTGCAGGGTACCACAGCACCATATTGAAGGCATTCGCTTCCTCTACAAACAGTTTAAAAGGGTAGGTACAATATGATAATTTACTCCATCCCCATGAAGATACAATTATGTTAATGAATTATTCAAATATTGATGTTTTCTTTCTTTCATCCTAATAACTTAAAAACAGAATATATATAAATATGCAATGTTGACATTACATTTCCATCTAGTGAAGTAGGTAATAGTTTATGTGAATTTAGCTTCTGCAGATCTCAGGACCTGATTGGGATACCAAGCCAAAAGTTACTGAGAATAATGATGATGATCTTGAAATTCAGTTCTTACAATTTTTAGCTAATAAAATCTTTAAAAACTTTTGAATAAATACAAACAAATTGAATTTGAAGGAATGTATTTTTAGCCCATTAATAAAGCCGTTTTCTTGTGCCCAGATTCTAGATTCAGAGAGTAAATTTAAACTGTTTTGGAAAAAGACTAGGTAGGGCCAGGGTTTTGTACCTCACTTATCCTTCACAGTGGCCACCATCAGCCCCTGTAAGGGACACCGTGACCTCTCAACGAACCTGCTCTAGATTCCTATGTGTCATTCCTGTTTCCCTCCTTTGGCACAATCCAAAAGACTTATGTCTTCTTTGAGCTTGTAATGTGTACTGTGCACGGTGGCACATGACAACTGGGTGTGTAACTGTGTATCTAGATACTCAGTACCTGCCTATTATTACAACCAATGTTGTTTTAAGTTTGTGATGACAAATTACCTGATAGTAAGCAATCGGCGCCGCCCATCAGAGGAGATAAGACTGTGTTCTGTTATGATTTGGAAGATTTGTTGGGCCTCCTCGGATTAAAAAAATAGGTGCCACTTCTACTATCTGCAGTGTGCATCATCCCCATCTCTCATCATCCTACAGACATTATGTTTATAAACCTTTTGATTTTCCAGAAAAGGAATGGAGTGATTATAAATGATCCGCTGGGTTTTGGCCGAAATATCCAAATAACTTTGTTCCTGAAAGCTGTCCATCCATTGCTCAGCAGACCGGTACTGATACTATGTGAGGAGGGGAGTGAAAATGACTGGTATGAACGGTTCTTTACGTGGACAGATTTATCTGATGGTGAGTTGTACAATATTTTAGTTGGAAGGTACCTGTGTTAGGTATGACTTGCTTGAACACTCTTCTTTTGATTACCCGTGTGTACTATTTTAAGAGCCTATGCACCTTTTAAGCCGTTAAACCGTTACATTCTAAAGCCTATTCCTCATAAACAGTTGGGTATAAAGATTGAAATAAAAATATATGTTTACTGTATTCCTTCTTAATGGCTTGGTTCATTTAAATTTTTTTTTTAATAGATCAATCGATTTTAAATTTTTCTACAAAGTGGGCAGCACTCATGTAAATCAGTCAATATGTTACAAAGACCATGTTATATTATTGGGATTTCCATATAATATAAAAGGTACTATACGCCTTAATACGTACGCCAGTCAAATTAATTTCTTTTTTCGAAATGTTAAAACGATGTTATGTTTATTTTTGCACAAAATTAAGCTTAAAATTAAATCAATAAACGAGAGTATCGTTATTTTTAGTAGGTAGTAGGTGTATTAGGGAAAACGATTTTATTGTTTACTGTGTCGTTAGGCCTATGTGCTTAGTAAGTTATGATGATCACTTACTAAGCAATTTTAGCAATTCCTAAATCACAGATAGGAAAAAGGCTAATTGATAATACGGTAGTTTCCTACTATATCAAAATCAATACTTATAACCAAATGTCAAAAACGATACTTTTCTATGAAAGCATGAAAAACTGAGTTATGAAGTCATAGTATTTTAGCGTCAAATAGCTTACTTATTTCTTAATAATTAGCTAGGTACAAAATATCTAAAAGTTAGTGTATCGATCAATAAAGATAATATTATTGTATTTAAATGTACGTAACGAATTAATTTATTTTTGACCTAGGAAACTACCCAATTCTCTTTCACTCAAATAAGTTACATAAGTTAGTGTAGTAAGAACGAAGAGGGTAGGATGGGGTTGGCGTATCTATGTGGATAAAAATCCCAAAACAAATTAAAAAAAAGTTATGCAAGTTGTAGGAACATAACTCGTTATAATAATAAATTATAGTAAAATAGTGAGAAACGTGTCTACTATGAAATTTATCACGAAGTCGCGACGCTATGACCCTGTGCACAATTGACGGTAATTTTGTGCAATAAATGCAGGTCTCGCGTCAGCTGACCCAACTTCAACCTTGTGTTAAATACAGAGAGTTCAAATTTATGAAATCAGTGAATGATAACCTAATAAGAGTTGCAACGCCTATTATAATATTGATAATTGGGATTTTCGGTTCAATAGTAATCAGTATGAATGGGACACCGGCGAGACTCGCCCATTATTCGGTCAAAAAACATATGATATAAATATAAGCATGCGAATGAATTTACCCATTTGAGAAAGTAAGGGCGTCAGTTGGTTTCTGAAAGACGGCTGAATGCAAAAAGCTCTTGAAACTCGATACTAGAATTCCTTTGGGAAATATAGGATGATGTCCGGAAACTATATATCTTCTATTATATATAAAAATGAATCGCAAGCAGTGTTGGTAAGTTCATAACTCGACAAAACCTGGACCAATTTAACCAATTCTTTTTTGTCATGTTTGTTATTGCCAAGAGAAGTTTGTTATGAGAAAAAAACTACGTTTAAAAAAACCGACTTCAAAAACAAAAAAGTGTCAAATAAGTAATTAAAATTGATATTTTAATACCAATCTTACGTACGCGAAGCTAATACTTTTAATATTAATAATAAAACACTATCAATTCTATGTGCTACCTATTCATAGGTTTAAAGTCGGTGCCAAGCCCTAAACAGAATAAAACTATATGAGAATTCAAACTGTTTAACTGCTTAAAGACGAAATTTCCACAACAATTTTAATTACTTATTTGACACTTTTTTGTTTTTGAAGTCGGTTTTTTTAAACGTAGTTTTATTTATTTTTTACTTTGCAGTGTCTGTTACAAGTTCTTCTGTAAACTACAGTAACATTTTAAATATAAATTAACATATTGAATAGTATATATTTTTAAGTAGCTATGGGTAGGCCTACGAAAGGAGCCGCTCTATTAAAAAATATAGATCCCAAGAAATGGGAAAGTTCTCATCATCATCATCATTATCAGCCATTTTAATTTTCCCACTACTGGGACACAGGTCATCTCTCTAGAAGAGGGAAAGTTCTTAACAATATAAATAAATTAAGTCCAAACACGAGGTAGCTACTGTAAACCGTTGAGGAGTTCCCTAGACTGTCCTTCGTCTTCATCATCAGATCCCTAATGACAGTCACAATCCATCTAGGTGTAAAGTTTATATCAAAACGAATTTATTAAGCTCAAACACAAGGAAGCTGCTATGAATCGTTGAGGAGTTCTCTCGATTGTCTCTCGGTTCCATCCGGATTTCCCTCGACGGTCAATGGTCTCCATCATCAGGTAAACTGCAGACCTTCAGTTGTTATAATACATACAGGTACGAAGTTTTCATCAATATAAATGAATTAAGTTTAAACACGAAGTAATTACTGTAGACCGTTCAGGAGTTCCCTGAGCTGTCCTTCGTTCTCATCATCAGACCCTTAATGACAGTTACAACTAAGCCTGCTGCAAAGTGCTCGCCAATACGAATCATTCAAGCCCAAACACAAGGCAACTACTCCAAATAGTCAAGGAGATCCCTCGGCTGTCTTCCAGCTCCATCATCTGGTCGACTTCGACCTTCGTCAAGTTGTAGTGTTGTTAAAGGCCTACTTAAACATCATACAAAAAAACTACTCGCCCCTACAATTTTCGAAAGTTCCCCTCGGTTTCTCCAGGATTCCATCATCAGATCCTGACCTCATGACAATGGGACCAAATGGCAAGTATACCCTATCGAATAAAAAAAGAATTTCGCAAATCGGTCCAGGCATCTTCGAGTAATCGGTGTACATACATAAAAAAAAAAATTCTCGTCGAATTGAGAACCTCCTCCTTTTTTGAAGTCGGTTAAAAACTTTAGAAAATCAGAGAGGAGAATTGGGAAATAGGGATCATTTCGTCGTTCGGGAAGGAGGGAGTGTCACTCTTACTGACTAAACCCTGTTCCTTCTCCTGCTTTGGGCCGAGGTCGCGGTGCCTCATTGCGCTTACCCCGCAACCCCGGCTGAACATCAGCCCTATAGGGCCCCGTCTGTGGTGGTCTATTGGCTCTTTAAGCCACGCGCGGAACGCTACGCGCCGTACCCTCAGGTTTGGATCTGTTTGGATGGCGAGCTACCCTTACTCGCCGTCGGCAGACCCGCGCTTACGGTGGCCGGAGATCGGCTCTCGAACCACGACGCCCGGAGTGTCGCCTACAGCGGTTTCCCTCACGCGGTCCTCCTTCTTTGCAAGCATAACTGCTTTACAGAAACATTTCGTCGTTAGCGAGATAGAGACCCGTGCAAAGCAGGGACGGGCTGCTAGTGATTAATAAAAATGAAAATTTGATTTTCAGATGTTGTTATAGAGACAAAAAATCCGATGTTGAAGAAGGCAGTGATCATCAATACGATGGTGAACCTGCACTTGTTCTGCGCTCGTGACTGGAGCATCATCATCGTGGACGGGGATAAAGTCACCTCCACCAACCCCTTACTCAAGCTACCGTTAAGATCCAGTTTCAAGATATGGAACACTCAAGTTAATCTTAAGGTATAAGAAAAGTATCATATTATTTTTATTCACTTCAACAAGAATGAGGTTCTTGATTCTGGAGGCAATATTATGATGCTAGTTTTTAAGTAGTCACATTAGGTACATAGTTAAAAAAATACTTTGCCTACAATAGGATTTTCTCCTGTGTCGTGGGTGCGTTTACAAACACACCACACCTCGACTGGGAACAACAATTTGTTAATCACACAAATTGTCGTTCCGTTCGAGAATCGAACCCGTTTCGTGGCAGCAAGTTGCCCAGCCACCGAACCTGTCAAACTGGCTGTCAAACTTGTATTATTTTTATACTTACAAGACTTTTTGTTATTACAAAAAGCCATACCATCAGCTTAAAAGTACCTACTGCTGAGCAAAAGTCCCTTCTCACACGGAGAAGATTTGAGCATTAAACACAACGCTCGCTCTAAGTGGATTGGCAATTAAACTTTCACTGTTTGTTCGTGGTGTCTAAATTACTTAATTATAACTCGGAAGAAGGCTCTTTGGTATTTGACTGGTTTCATACTCGCCTTCTTATGCATGAGAAGCGGGGTGCTTAACAGGTTAACCTTCGGGCCACCACAGCAACAAAAAATTGCAAATAAAGTGTAAAAATTAAGTATGTGCTACAAAGTATATGTTTGCATGATTTCGATACATAAGAAACATTTTGATGCGTAAAAAAAGTATTGCGAGAATCTGAAACAGTTTTTTTTTTGTATAATCTATAAGTTGTTGTTCTGAAGTGTATGTTAAATAACTCCACAACGCCACAGGAGGTATTCCTAGTGTAGAGCAACGTCTTTTAATAAATATTATTGATGAATAAGTAATTCTTAATTGTTTTCTCTTCAGGAAAATCTGGATAGGTTTGAAGAAGTATACAAATGGATGTATCCACAGGAATCATTTGACAAAAACTACTTCATTGCTAACCCCGACAGCGCTGTAGATGTGATAGAGAAATCTATTCTTCTGGATTCCTTTCTAGAAGACATTCTCATTCGACGGGAAGATCTAAATTCTTCTTTCAAGGTATGTTAACTTGATCAGTTCATATTCTGCCTGCGTAATTGGGTAGTTTCCTAGGTCAAAAATTAATTAATTCGGCAATCAATATAATAAAATATTTAAAAATAACTGTACTTTTATTCATCGATCTGTCGGTACACACATTTTCTATATTTTTTATAAGTAAGCTATTTGACACAAGAATGCAATGACGTCATGATTTGGAGTTTCATACAAATTTCATAGAAAAGTATAGTTTTTGACATTTGGATAAAAGTATTGAATTTGACTAGTTGGAAACTACCGTATTGTCGCAGTGGCGGCTGCCGTGATCCGTCCCGGGTTCGTTCACGCACGGACCAGAAAGTATGATCCACAGTTGTGTTTTTCATGTGATAGGAACGGAAACGAGCAGACTTAAATTATTTTTAATGTCCGCCTGGAACATTATTTTAAAGCATTCAAAATCTTTTAATTCAAATCTTTTCGATTCAAAGTTTAGTATCGCGTGACGTCACGTCTAGGAGCTTTCCAAATGTGGGAGAGCCAAGCTTTGGCACGATGGGTCGGCTCTACCGGAGTAATACCATTTGTCATTAATTTTCCAATATAAATTAATAAATGGATATGTTTAATCGTTCCAGAAATACCAAAGAGAGGTGATGATGCCGCCACCAAAGACTACAACGATAATGCCCTCGATACACCCTACTTTGAACTCCCCTAACACGACCATCACGCCGGTCGTAGGGCCGGCGCCTCCGCCCCCGCCCCCCGCTCCTACTCCTACCGTCATTATAACTAAGAAGAACAAAGACGCGACCGGGACTAAGATAAAACGATCGAAAACAAAAATCGAAGCGGACACCGCTAACAAACCATACGAACCTATACTACCAATAACTACCAGCATCACCAAAGTCGTCAGTGAAACACCCAAAACTTTTGAAACGTTCGACACCAATGAGGACTTCAGTATTGAAAATTATAAAAGAAAAAGCAAAGACAATATTGTAAACAATGACAAACCTATTCAAATAATAGAAATTGACAATCGTTGCGACATGAAATCTTATTACGAACAGGGAGCCGAGTCGAAGTCAGCGGATAAGTTGGAAGAAATGGACACACTAGTGTTTGGACACGATACTTTCATTAGCAAGGTGTCCGATCACTACAAGCCTGGACATGCGGCCTCAGACAAAAAGGAGACGGAACCACACACCATACTCACGTGCAAGCCAATTGGGGAGCAAAGTACTCATAAGTTATACACAGACAACAAAATATGTAGCAGCACAGTCACTTCAAGCTCCAGAAAAATTTATGATCCATCGCATCACGACCCTGAGAGAGATAAAAAGAATGATAGGGCAAGTTTATTAGCGCGACACGTCGATACCGCTAAAGTGAACCTCGAGGAACTGAATAAAGAAATGAGGGATCTCGGCACTAGAGACAATCCCGACAAAGTATCTAAAAGACAAAAAACAGACAGTGCGCCCAAATCTGTAATAACATTTGAACAATATAAAACGAAATCAAGTTTATCTAACACACAAGTCAGTGCTTCCGGAATCCTTGGCTCCGGCACAGAACAAGTCACAAATAGTCTTAAACGTAATAACATAGATGATAAGATGAAAGAATGCGAGGAAAAGGTCTCTAAGAAATTCAAGGGTTCCTTTTTAGATAGTCTGTTTTGAATGTGTGTGAGGCTAAGCTAAGTCTGTGTTAGGTCGTAAAAATAAATGTTTTTAAAAGTCTGAATGTACGCTTGTCTCATTCCGCCTATCCTAAACTTAACAAAAGTTGTACATTATATTTATACAAGATTTCCTAATTGTTTTTGTGTTACTCCTATTAAAAGACGTAGGCAAAGTATTGTATTGGAAGACGCTTAGTGCATCTGCATATAATCATTGCAATTTATAGCGAGTAAAGTATAGACCTCTGTTATGTCTGAAAAATTGTAAGTCTGCTCATTTAATCGTCGGCTTTCGTTCTCGGCTCATTACAACTACTATTCATTTAAAGGATAGCAATGCCTCGTCACAAATGGGCGTAGGTCGGCTCGACCGGCGTGATACCACAGCCTCAAAGAAAACCGCAGTGAAACAACTACAGACGCCGTGTCAGTGAGGTTACCAGAGAACCAATCCCAAAATCTCCAAATCCCTTATCCCGATAAGGTCGCAATGAACTCATAACTCCTACGTTTTTGCGTGTCTCCATAGGCGACGCTGATTGCTTACCATCAGGTAATCCGTTTGGTTGTTTGCCGTCCTAAGAAAGACGACCAAGTGTGTGAACCAGTTTTACGGGCATATACTTTAATATTGATGGATTTAATTTACAAGGACTTCATAATAATTATACTAAATCGAGTGCAAGTCCAAAAATAACTTACGTTCTGCTTACTGGCTGCAAAACTGAGTCTAAATAAAACAGGCTTATCAAAACATCAACCATTTATTTCTTAATAACATAGTAATATCTTTTGTATTTGTATAAATTTATAGATAGATATGCGTTATATACAACATCAATTCTCAATAAGTATGTGTTATATTTTATAAGATCACCAACATCATACAGACAACTTCACTAGTAGACATTATTAAACAGCTTAAATCTAAAATCTCTTGACCGATCTCGGTTCTTGGCTGTAGATAGATTAATTTATTGTAAATATTTACTGTACCTATTTATGAAATACAATAAGCTTATTTGTTGATTAATATAATGTATTTTGATTTTTGCCTTACATATTTGTCGCATTTAACCAAAATGGCGGGTGGCCGAAAAGCGCGGGAGCGGTTAATCGTCACTGACTTTAACACAAACAATTTTCAATTTTGTTTTATTAAATACAAAATTCAATTTTATTTTAAGTTCTAACCAGTAACTGGAGGTCAGTGGAGGTGAACATTTGGCGGATTATATTTTCCATAGATTATTGCCAAGCGTAAAAAATATATTTTTGAAACAATATGTATTAAATGTTTCTAATTATGGTAAAATAAAATGTATAAAATAAGGTTTATTTTCTTGTAAGGCAGCCTCCTCATGCAATGTGTATTTAAGCACATAGAATACGTAATATGGGTCTTCTGCACCAGTGAACAGGTAGGTACAATAAGCTAAACGAACCATTTTCGGCAAAATTCACGTATACGCTCAATAAAATTGATTTATTTGTACAGTACATACACGCATAAATAGGTACCGTATTTAACTTTGTAAATGATTTCGTATAAAAAATAAAGTTTTATAATATAATATTTATACAAACATTGCTGTTTATATTTTAATAAAATAAAATTATAAATATAAACTATTTTTGTTTACACAGCTTTGTATAACTATGTGCACAACCGTTTTAGGAACGCAATTAATTTTTGTTTTATTTTCCTGATTTGAACATTACCTTAACAAACTTAAGCAATCTTCAAAAATAGCGAAGTTTATACATGAAATTGTATTTTTTAATATGGATTGGTACCTATCTATTTGAATAGAAATAAATACCCACAGTAGAAAAGTTTTTACCGATATTTACATCCATAAACAAGGTAAACGTTGCTTCGTTGTCGGACAGTGTAAATCAATATAATATGTAATACTTAATTATAATTCTCTCAAAAACAATGCATTATAATAAACTTATTAAACTACATAAACAGAATTGATATATAATTACAAAATATAATTTCATTAACACCTTTACAATATTGGACCGTTTTTTCATAACGCGAAAGTATTGTTTAGCACATTTATTTCAGTTCTTAAAGATGACGCGAAAGTATTGTTTAGCACATTTATTTCAGTTCTTAAAGATGACGTTAGAGCCCACTTCTAAACTTGAAGTTACTTTAACTTGACACATATATGTATTTATTATTCCATTATTAATCTGACGAGACTACACTAGATTTTTAATGTCGTCATCCCTATAGATACGATAGAACTGTGTAGAAGCAGTTTTCGGGAACAATCAAAACTTACTTATGCATATTATATTAGATACATAATAAATATCGTAATATTATTAAAACAATATCCTGTAGGTATACAAACTTTTTCTTAAAAATAGTAAGTAATTTTGACACAATGGAATGTGGATATAGGCTATACATAAAAAATACTTAAAAAAAATAATCAATTAAGTATCCAATAAAATATAAAAAAAATGCTTCCTACTGCCAAGTTATCCAAAATTATCTACAAACACGTTTCAGGCGACAGCATTAATATATCAATGGTTTATGAAATTATTCATTTGATTTATCAAATACCGAATTCATAAAATTGATTTCTCGCCAACCAAGCTTTGATATCATTTTTATACAATTTTTGCAATGTCATAACCATTAAGAAAGTGGAAGTTTTAATTGCAAACCGGTACAAAATACAAAACATAGTGTAAGTTTTAAACACAAAATATAGGTTGATTTTGATTGACTTAAATAATGTGAACATTGAATAGTAAATAATAAAATAATTATTATTTATTGACAGGCTTGCTTCTTCGAGGAAACTTGGCAATAGAGAGTAGGTACTCCCTTTTCCAATAATAAACTAAGTAATTAATTATAAATTCCATAAATTATAAAGTGTTTTAAAAAAAATACATCAAAATTACTTTATGAGAGAGACGCTCAGTCTGAAAGCATTTTTGCCTCAAACTGAAATTTTTTTTATAAATTATTTTCCGAACACAATTTTTTCCATCCAATATACCTATTTATATTGTTTACAGACGAAGTTATTTAACGATCTCAATCCAAAATCTTCGGATTAAATTTGATTTTTGACATCAGCTTCATGGTGTTGCACTGACAAAAACAGAGATCGAGCTAGAGATTTTGGATTAAGAACAGAGTGAAACGCTACCGTGTAGCCCTCTGATACGGGTTGTTAAATTAGAGCAAGCCAATCAGAGCGCCCAGCGTCATAAAAATTTAGGTCGCCGTAACGTAAAGCAAATTCGCACTAGACACGCTGTTTACATTTCGGCCGTTAATAGTAAATACTTAATACCTAAAATAGCGCAAAAAACAATTATGAATATATAGAGATAGATCAAAATATGACTTACATAAAAATAAATATTAGATACATATATATTTGAAATATAATTTCGTATTAGGTATATCGTTTTCGCATTGGCAACATTAGGAATGAGTTTTTTATTACCATTACTACTTAGGTTTGATGTGGAGGTACTCGGCTACAAATACTCGGAAAATTTTGTTCAAATTTTCTATCGTGTTGAAGTCTAGAGCAGAAAGGTTGTCGCCAGCGGTGTGCCACACGCTGGGGAAAGGAGACGGGATCACGTGCAGAATATCCACATCTAGAAAAAACGGGAACAATAAAAACACTATTAACTGGGTAACTGCGAACTTATATATCATCTACTAGCTGCTCTCGCGCGGACTCATCCGCTGCTCGGCCCCATTTGATCGTAGTGTGATATTTTATGGCCTATAGCCTTCCTCGATAAATTACTTAACTAACGAACACAAAAAGGATTGTTCAATTTGAACCAGCAGTACCGGAGTTTGGTGCGTCCAAACAAACTCTACAGCTTTATAATATTAGTATAGATTTATCTTAGTAAATAAGTCTATCAGCTTTGGGCTGATTTTTCAATGGTCAGGTAAAAGTTACCTGGGGAATAATTAGGATGCTGTCGCGTCATAATGTTTGTATAAGACAGTGATAGCAACAATTTTAAGCCTTAGATAACATTTATCTGACCATTAAAAAAACAGCCCTTAGTGGTGCTATTGAAGAGACCTGCCTACCTTAGCTACCGATGCCCAGCAATAGACATTACGTAAATATTCAAGCTGCAATTCTGGAATTGCATTTTATATAAATATGATCGATGGTAAGCGTTACAGAGCCATGCCTCGGCACGGATGGGTCGGCTCGACCGCAGTGACACCACGGCCTTACAGAAAACCGCCGTAAAGCAAAACTTAGACACGTTGTGTTTCGCCGTGTGAGTGAGGTTACCGGAGGATCAACCCTTAACCCTCGATCATCAAAGTCCCTATCCTTCCACAAGAGGCAACACACTTGTAGTAACTTGGTATTACGAATGTCTATGAGCAATGCTGCCTACCTACTTGACCAACAAGCCATAATGTGTCTACTAAATATTCATTAGTTTTGGCCTTGTTGCTTCGAGTTATAATCAGTCGTGCCATTTACTTTTAGTCCACGAGTTACTTTCAAGGTCAACAAATAATATCTATAAAGACTACAAAGAAGTTCCAACCTTTAATAGTACTTAAATTATATACACAGGTAGTGTTTTGATTTAAATAATATAAGTATGCAAGTAATGTGCTCTTTATAATATTATAGTATAGATTGGAACCGTTGACGGCAGTTTTTTAAGACGGCGCAAGCAAAGAGCACCTTAGGAAATAATAGTCGATCATGACACAAGTGTTTAGACAGTGTCTGTATTAGACAATCTACACTAAGCTACCTAGTACATATAGGTACGTTACAGGACATTATACATAGATTGATGGATTTTTTATGTTAAGTAAATGAAATTCTAAAAAATGATAAGATATCAATGATAAAGTGCTGATGTGTGCAGTAGGTACCTGCTTATCCGAAGGAAATCAAAATTTTGTTATTATTGTTATTTCCCAGATTCGTACCTACTCGCCTCGTAGGTCGATAGGTGTTTATAAGTGAGGGGGACAGTTCTATCACGCGCCCACGCTTTCCCTAAAAGCTTTTAGCTAGTTAACTAGCTAATATTTTAAAGTTTGAAAACATTACAGTCCTGCCGGAGTTTGTGTTCCCCGAATAGTAAAACCTGGTTGTCTTCAAGGCCCGAGTGAATAGGTTGTTTATAGGAAGACATGCTCCATCGTAGGTCGCATCATCGCTTGCCACCAGGCGTGACAGCGAAACAAGACATTACGAAATAAAAAAAGTACTGAGTGCAAAAGAAAAATTAAAAGATGTTTTTGCAATTTTTCATGTTTTCCTTAAAACCCTTCCCAGGACTTGCACGAATACAAAAGGCTAAAATAAGCTTAATCCGTTCTCGAGTTTTAGCGAGCCTAAGGAACTGGAATGCGTTTTTATTTATACATAGGTACATTTATTATATGTTCACTGTTATCACGTAAGGTACTGCGATATTTTTCGTTCGCAATCAATTTATAAATTGTAATCATCATTTCGACCTCAATGTAAAAGCTTTTTTATACTTAAACAGGCGTTTGTAGCAACTAGCAACTTACTTCTCCGCATAAAGGGTATGTGGTCGTCCTCTATGACGGCTCCAGAGCTTCTGAGCCTGAAGTAAGTCTGTTCTGCTTGACCCTTGGAGTAAGACTGAAATTGGTCAAGTTCAGCCAGCCTTTGCTCCGCAACAGCAAGACGGACGTACCACTTCTCCGTCGACTGGAAGTAGCTGTAGAATACTGGGTCTGGACAGCCAAGAAGATCGAGCAACACCATCACGTCCTGTTGAGAAAAAGATTTTGATCATGATCATGGCAAGGCAGTTTGTTGAACTAGACCAGCCAGCTTACACTGTAGAACTAGGAGGTATTTTATATTAGGTCTATCCATTAGCACTTTTTGTCCTATATGGGGCTGAAACTTGCAATATGTTGCACGGCAGTAACTACGATAGCCTTATACATACACATGGTCAGCTCCGGACTGTCTGTTGTCCTTAACGTTATTTTCTTTTTATGTTTCTCTGTATATAAGCGTTACACTGTTCTCACATAATCAAACCAACTAAGTAATGTGTCAAAGAATCTTCATGTGAAACTGATTTATTTAAGAGTAACCATGGAGTTTCTTGCTCGTTCATCTCTATCACAATCTACACTTTGGAACGAGCTCATAGCTGCATTTAGAGGACTGACCGACAGACTGACACTTTATATCTTTTAAATTTCGTTTGACGTTCAAAAGTGCCTATATGGATCTAATTGAAAAAAAACATTTTGACTTTGACTTTGCAGTCAGTGCACCTAGATATTGAATTATATTTACGATGCATGATGATGTAGCAACTTCGCAAACGCGTTTATATATAAACATAAACGAAGTTACAGCAAGGCACAATTTGCTCGTAGCTGGAGAGCTACTGGACCCTTAGAGTAACGAAGTAAATTGCTGGAAGTCTAGATAAAAGGTCCTTAGTTATCATTAAGCTCTTCGACGTCAGCTTTTCCCTTTCATTACCTACATAAAAGCACGCGCGTTATATTAGAAACCAGACCATACCTAGTTGGCCTGCCATACTTGGTAATTAGCTTCGAATTACTTACAGTTAAAACAAAACTGGTTGATTGGATATCGAACTAATCGCGTTTTTGATTCTAAAATGAAACAATTTTTCACATATTTTTATGTCCGTCCCGTAATTTTTTTTATTTGCAATGAATGTCAGTAGGTAAGTACATATAATTAGGTGTTACAAATTATTAAGGTTCCTTGTACATTTTACCTTAATTGACGTGCAAATTATATAAAACTTCCCATCAAAGAGCAATTCTGTAACATGCTTTGTAACTTTTCGAGTGGTTATTTCTTGACATTATTCGGTAACTTATTAAAAACGAGTGTTGCCATACAAATAACACTTGTGTTTAAAGGATCAGTTTTAAAAACCTCCTTGTTTAAAATATACTTATATTGGGATTTGATACGTATTGTTCTATTTCGAGTTTCTTTCAAGAAAAAGGTAAAAAGGTGAGAGTTTGTTTTAACAATATCGGATACGATTTCGTAGAGGAGTTTACGTTTACCGTTTTATGGCAGAGGTCGTTCAACTAAAAGTTTATTGTCTTTCATCATCCTCACTCTCATACCTCGGCATAAATGAATAAAATGATAGGACACGAATTAAATTCAAATTATTACAAAATTAATAATAACATCGGTACGCCTTTCATAACTAGATAACGAACTTATATAAATTATTCTTCTTTCCGTTTTTCATTTCTACAATATAATTATACTGTCAAATTTATGAAAATATACAATGTTTCCAAGCCGAATCGAACGAATCTTAATCCATTTAAACATATTACATACTAGCTACTCTCGCACGGTTTCACCCGCTGCTTGGCTCCTACAGATCGTAGCGTGATGCTTTATAGCCTATAGCACTCAGGAACATTGTAGCTATCTATCAGTGAAAGAATTTTGTAAATCCGAACTGTGGTTCCAAAGATTACAAACTTTACCTCTTTATAATATTAGTATAGACTACACTCTTGCGCGGTTCCACCCTCTCGGCTCCTACAGATCGTAGCGTCATGTTTTATAGCCTTCCTCGATAAATAGACCAACAAATACAAAACTAATCGTTCAACTCGAACCAGTAATTCTTGAGATTAGCGCGTTCAAACGTACAAACAAAAAATCGTCAGCTTTATTATATTAGTATAGATAAGCTGCTACTAAAGTTACAAATACTTCTTTAATGGGAGATATTAAGGCGTTTATAGATTACTTAATATAGAGAGAAAAAAAATCGCACTCCAGAACAGAATATCAAATTTGAAAAATGTACAAATTACAATAAAAAACAAAAACAGAAACATCTTAATTCTACTAGATGGCGTTAGTGTAATAAATCCTATCAAATGAAAATAAGTTTGTTTTGCACATGAAAAAAAAATACAAATGATCATTTATTTACGTTTACGTAGGTAAACGTAAACAAACAAATTTTATAGAATCGACGAGCAGTTACGGAAAAGTATGACAAAAGAAAGTACTTTAATACACTTACCATTCTCTGGAGTTCGTTGGCCCCATCCTTATATTCAGTGCCATGCCATTTCTTTGCTAAATGTCGGGCCCCATAGATCGAATCATTGGGACCCCATTGCCTAAATGCTTCTTCACCATCAAAGAAAATGAACATGATGCTTAAACGATTATTTTTTATTGGTTCCAATTGTTCCGACATTACTTTGGCTAGGTTTATCATCATAGTACATGGTACTGCAGAGTCCGTTGCACCTAAAACACAAAAATTATATTCTTAGAGCCCCCTAAAACTATTGATTAAAAAAAATATTCTTAGAACGAAACAGAATGTCTTAGCGTGTGGATTCTTGAAATTGGCCGTAAATAGTACCTACAGTCAGTCCTTTAGATTTATTTATTAAAACAATTAAAGCATTAATGAAATTCAACACGTATTTTTTCTTACGAAATCAATTAGGTTCTTTTCACAATGCATTGATATGAAATATAGTAAGTATGATGTGACGTCACACTAGATATAATCTCGCACTCGTGTCTAATGTTGTCCTTGAGGTCTTCCAAGGTCTCCGGCTTTTTCATGTAAACACGGGACTTCAAAAAACCCCATAAAAAAGTCTGGAACAGTTAAATCTGGCGATCTTACGGGCCAGTGCAAATCGCCAAAACGAGAGATGAGGCGACCCGGGTTAGCCGCCCTCAGATTATCGGTTGTGGCTTGTGCAGTGTATTGTGTACCGTTTCTCCATCCTGTTGGAACCACATATTCTCCAGTCCTAATTCGTCCAATTGCGGCAGAAAAAAATCTATCAACATCGCCTCATAGCGTTGCTTGATGACGTAGCCGCTGAGGTGGAATGAGCCTCATCGCGGCGTAGGTTACGCGCGTTTGGCGGTCGGTAGGCAGCAGCTGATGCACAGACTGAACTTTGTACGGGAACATGCGAAGGTCTTTGACCAAAATTCGTCTTAAAGACGTCCGGCTAATTGCGTGGCACGGCCTCTGGTCGATGTTTCTTTAAATGCTTTAACTTCGGATATTAAAACCCATTTTTAAGTGTTTCTATAGCCCAGCCCATTTCAAAAACAATGAATGAACTGGAAAAAGATGTGTAATGATGGTCGCATTCCTCCATTGCTGGTACACATGACACATCATTATTTTAATAATTAACAACTAGCTTGTAGTATAGAATAACAATTAGAATGAAATATGTTTACAAACCTGAACATACAAAATACTTATAGGTAATCAAGTTTCGACATTTGTCCATTATTGGAACTCAATGGAATCAGTAAAAATCCAACAAACACAACCTCTCTGATATATAACCACAAGTGTGTTCTGTCTTCATTTCATCATTAACCCAACAAACACATTCTGATTAAAATAAAGCAATAGGCCCAATCCTTCCCCTTCCCGGACCCTTTCCCAATCCCTAAATCTCCAAATCCCTAATCCTTAAAAGGTCGGCAACGCACTCGTAACTCCTCCGTTGCGGGTGTCCATAGGCGGCACTGATTGGTATCCATATCATAAGGTAATCCGTTTTCTCCTTTGCCGACTTATTACATAAAAAAAAGATTATTTTTTATTCACTGGAAAACTTTGAACTCTTCTGATCTGTCTGACTTGAAATATTGCAACTATAACCGCTTTAGGTCTTAATTTTATGTCACAGTGTTGCCAACATAAAAGAAGTGGTTTACATCCTTATTCTGAAATATTTAATTATTGTTTGTTCTTTACTGATTCCTTGTCCAATTCTGGCTGGTGTGTTTACCCTGTCTAAATAAACCTTAAAACCATGAACCCATGAGCTTAAGAAGCAGGCACACCACCTCCCCCGCGACATTCGCCAATAGTACAATGCAAACGAAATATTAAATTAAAAATACTTGCCTACAAAAACATGTTCCCTCATATATTTGCTGTCATAGTGGCACGCTAGCACTAAGAATCTGTCAGCATTAGGATTTAATTTGGCTATTATGTTTTTAAAATTTAATGTGCCAAACACAGGTGTCGTGTCAGAGAAAACATTCTCCGTAACCTCCCAACCTAAGTCCCGCATCTGTTGGGATATGTAGTTGCTGACCTTATCATGATTAGGAGTGCCCACAACTCTTGGAATCAGGATCTCATTTAAAACTGATTTGAAATGATTCATGTCAGACATAGCCGCTATATCTCTCACATTCTGATCTGTCAACTCTTGAGCTTCGTGGAAATTCTGTAAATAAAGTGTTCACATATAGAATTCTTACTTTGTAGGTAGGGCAATAATTTTTATAATTACAATAGTAACTCTTGTGAGATATACTGAATTTATTGAAAATCATAACAATCTACTCACACGTCGGCACAACATCACCATAACACACTGCTCATGAAACAGTCTCATGAAATTAGTACAGTTCTTCTCAGTTTATTTACATGAGTAAGTTGTTATTATTATCAATACATTCCAAAAGTCTTACTTAAAACTTAAACATTTTATTTTCCACATGCAACTTATACTGTACTACCTACTTGCATAGCTATATGCTTGCTTACATAGTTTAATTTATAAAAAGACCAGGTCGGATTATAATAACTAATAACTACAGTTTTAAATACAAATGTTATCCATAATATTGAGCCTATCAACTAGCGCATGAAAATATATTAGTTGTGTCACTAACTTTAAAGTGAAGCGTAGAAAAGAATTACATTATAAACGTACTGTGTATTTCACACAGTAGAAATATCCGATATATGAAATAATATGGGCCATTTCACTTGTGAAAAAAGTCCATATGTGTAATAGGCGGGCCAATAAAATAAAGTTGGACGAATCTTGTAGCAATATGAATCTTAAAAATAGTTCCATAAAAATATTTTAGCAATACAAACCACTGACCTTTTCCTCATAAAATTTTAAATTCTTTTTTGTGTTTACAGATGCAAAACAAAGTATTGCAATAACGAAACATAGCTCTGATTTAGACATGTTTTATCACTATAATAAGATTAAAGCCACCGTTGTTTTTCTTATATTTGTAACATATGTGCTGGTACACTTTACTTTAAGTACGTGCACTCGGTCAATTCACACACTATCACTGATAAAACTAGATTTTACGAAACCTGTTGGCCTGTTGCGACTTTTATCAACCTTTTACCTACCCAACTGATTTTGACATTGACAGTTTGCTTTAGGGTTACAGTAACAAAAAAAAATCCTTAATGTCTTGGAATTTACATTACGTTTGTATTGTCATGCTTTTTTATTACCCGACTATGGCAAAACAAAAGGAGGGTTATGTTTTTTACAGGCTATGTATGTATGTTATGTTCATCTGTTCCCTCGTAACTTCTAAACTACTTATCAGAATTCGACAAATGACATATCATTAGAAACGTCTTAATTGTCCGCTGGTTATAGACTGTATGGGCCAAATGCCTTAGAATAATTATTGGGAACAATAAGCCTGTCCCTCCTGTGATTGTTAGGTACAGAGAACTTAAAAACCTCTCTGCACCCATCAGTCAATATCCTGTACTTCCGGTCTTTTCTTCTGCATATAATGTTATCCACTTCAGGCCAAGCGTTGTCCTAGAACCAGGCATTGCAAAAGCATCAGTGAACGCTAATGAAAAATTTAAATGCGCACTGAGCAATTTCTGGAGTGGCTGGAATTTGTTCTACACAGATGCTTCTAAACTGACTCCTGAGGGATGCACAGGAGTAGCAGCATATTATCAGAACTCAAGGATCGCTTTGTTAGGAAAATATCCCTCTGAGGCTTCTGTGTTTACTGGTGAATGTGCTGCTATTCTGGAGTCCATAAAATTTATCAGAGCTCACAACCTGAGAAATTCGGTCATCTTCTCCGACTCTAGAAGCAGTCTTCAAGCTTTTGGCCAAGACCAGCTTCACTCCAGAACCTATAATAGCTTAATTGTAGAAATAAAATCTCTACTTTTTGCGTGTCATGAAGATGGCTTAAAAAGAGAAATCGCTTGGATACCTGGGTCACTCTGGCATATGTGGTAATGAATGTGCACTCACCAAATATATGCCTAGACATGTACCTTTACGAGCCTTTGGGTCATACGCGGATATAGCAAATTTATGTTAGTTGGCCACGAGCTCTTGTATAAATAAAATTGAAAATAATGCCCAATTGTGCTTTAGGAAGGCGAGCAGGGTTTCTTCTTGTAATAAAGCTCGGATTCTGTCGTGATTCGGAATGGTATAATTACAAAATGTCCCTAAGTGGCGGTATACCACGCTTGCTTAAGCTAAGCAACGCCTGCAATAATCCGCTTGATGTAAATTAGTCGTACTAGCTAATGAGAAATCGGAGCGCTTTAAGAAACTACTTTTCACTGTAAACACTCCGGGCAGCGCTCGGTGATCTCTGAAGGTTTTTAGTCAGTAAGTCTGGCAATCGACATAGACAAAAGGGAGGAGAAAACAGACACAAAACAAATGATGGGTAATCTAATAGTTTGAAATGAAACGATAAAGTAATAATTCCGCCAGTGGTTAATGGTTATCGTAATGCCCTTTTACTCGAGGGCATTCATGACAAGTTGGTGTTGATATAATAAATAATATATTATACTTACTTTTGCCGAGAGTTTTTTTATTTTATGTTCTGTAGTGGTCTATTATTAACGCTAGGCGCCGCGCGCCGCAAGCTCAAGTTTTGGTCGGGCGGCAAGCTAACGTTGCTGCCCAAGCTCAACATTGCTCCGTCCAAGACAGTCATTCATGGCTCTGGGACGATCCTGGCTTACAGGAGTTGCAGCGGTTTTGGGAGGTTGCGGCGGGCTTGTCTTGTGTTGTTGTGTCCATTAAACTTCATTAAAGTAAGTTGCTCGATCCCGAAGCCTAGAGATTCGTCTACTGCGGCGGCTAGGACGTGAAAAGGATGGCTCCTCACGCCCTCCACATCCTCCTTAGCGAGGATCCACCACTTCGTAGAAAGAGGAGACGACAACTTCCCAGTTGCTCTCGCTGCGCACCATGGCTTCGAATTTCCATTTACCCTCAGTTTTCTGTGGTGGGTTTTGGTTTCAAACTCAGATGTAAGAAACTAAGAAAGTAACAGAGGAATCAAATTAAAAAATTGCTGAAACAGAGGCTGATTAAATTTGGCAGCAGGATAAAGGACGCAGGTATACCTATTTTACAGACATGTTTATTATTGACAGCACCAACTGTCTTAACCGAAGGCAGGGCTCGCTGTTATCACAGCCGTAAACCACCTTTGGAGAGGAGCTAGAGTACAAATCCGATAGTTGCCCAGAAATTCGAAAGTTTTTATAAAACCATCCCTGTTGAAACTACAGAAGCGTTCCTATCATACCAACACTTTCTGTCGAGCTTTTCAGAAGGAACCTCAAAGAATGTTCTTCTGATTTTGGATTTTTAAACATAAACTCATGTGCATCATTGCCCTTGCCCTGCAACCCCGAAACATCATAATAGGAGGATTTTCACGATTAAAAAGAAAGAGTTCCTACTCTGATGTCTGTGGTGAAATTCTAGTAATTTGAATTCCCTATATTATGTGTAGGTTAGGTTAGTTTTGTACGCGCATCGAGTAGGTACCTACATAGAAAATTCATAAGAATTCGATTGATTCTTTTTGTCAAGAACTTTGGCGATAGGCGATAATTAGAGACCAATTATGGAGTTAGAAGACCACAGGACAAGAGGAGCACAGGATCTCAACGATATAACGATATGATCATACCAGTGCATCCAGCGATATGAGCATCCAGCGGCTTCCTGCGACCTTAATCAGGTCGTCTGTCCACCTTGCGGGTGGACGTCCTACGCTGCGCTTGCCGGTACGTGGCTTCCACTCGAGAACCTTTGTGCCCCAGCGGCCGTCGGTTCTACGCGCCCTGCCCATTGCCACTTCAACTGACTAATCTGTTGGGCTATGTCGGAAACCTTTGTTCGTTTGCGGACATACTCGGTTTTTATTCGGTCTCGCAAAAAAATTCCGAGCATAGCCCTTTCCATAGCGCGCTGAGCGACCTTGAGCTTCTTTATAAGGCCCACAGTAAGAGACCACGTTTCAGTTCCATAGATCATCGCTGGTAACACACATTGATTATAGACTTTCGTCTTAAGGCACTGAGGTTTGTTGGACGAGAAGATGTTGCGTAGTTTCCCGAACGCTGCCCATCCAAGTTGGATTCGACGATTGACCTCCTTCTCGAAATTGGACCTACCTAGCTGGATCACTTGTCCCAGGTATACGTACTCGTCAACAATTTCGAGGTTAGAGCTCCCAACTGATATCGGATAGGGCGTGACATGGGCGTTTGCCATGACTTTCGTCTTGTCCATGTTTATTGTTCATGTTCTTTTACTTAAAAGTGTGACGACAAAAATCTTAAAAATAACCTGTTTTCCTTTGTTAAATTTCCTACTGCAATTTTTTCAGGGGAAAATCATTAAATGACTTCTCCCGCCCAGATCACAGAGTACTTTTATATGCCCAGGTTAAGGCGTGAGATTGCCATACTCTTACCGACAAACCCCCCCCCCCCCCCTCGTTCCGACCCCTGCTTTAGGCCGAGGTCGCGGTGCCACATTGCGCCTACCTTACATCCCTGTAGGTCCCGTCTGTGATGGTCAATAACTGTTATAATACGATCACAGTTTAGTTTCTTATAAGTATTTAAAGACAGAAAACGCTGACTGCATACCTACACAAATATTGTATTATAGCAGGCCCTATTGATTGATGCGAAAACGGCGTCGTCGCTTCTCGTCACAATTGACATCACGCGGATGCGGCTATCTCGGAAGGAGCGATCCTAAACGTAAATATTATCAGAGTTTATATTTATTTCTGTTTGCTGTGTGACTGTGTCTGATCTCGCGACTATACAATTCTTTGTTCAATGTATTGTTCACAATAATTACCTACCAGTGAATAGATTGAAACAATAGGATTTTTTTCATACCTACTACTTCTATTGTTGACTCCGGGTCGATAGAATATTTGTACTCTCTGAGTCTACTTTAAGTGACTAACCCATTTGAATGCCTGGAATCTTTAATCAATAAGTGCTTTAACAACAACTATGGTCTATTGGTTTAGGTTATTGACTAAATATAAACAACCTTGGTATGTCTTTTGATCTAAAAGTTGTCTGAAAATTGTATGTAAAACTGTTTATTTAATAAATAATCTTTGTATGTATTTTATAATTAGTTTACCACCTAAACGATAGATCATCGATATAATCAGCGCAAATAATAGGTAGTGGCGGCATTAATAAGAATTTATACAAACACAAAATCCCAAAATACTTTAGTTGAATTCAGAACCATGAGAACTTGGGCAAAAAGTTTAGAACCAGAACCAAACTACTTACCACAACCAATGACACAGTTTAGATCCACGCTTGCAAGTATCCATTTATCCTCACAAACCTAACTAATTTTATTCTGTACCGAATTTGATAAATGAGCTTGGTCGGTAGGTCAGTCTTTAAATTTTTTCGATATTAGATGCATCTGCATCTCCTGACTAAGGGTTAGGTTAAGTTAGGTCTGGTCGTATGTAGTGTAGGTACATATTGATAAACGTACGTATGGGTTTAAATAGGTACAGAGAAGCATTTCCTAATATATTTTATTCACACACTTACAACTAAATAAGTACAAAATGTTACACCGTAAATAGCACTTTCTTTTGTTGTTATTAACTCTGTAACTTCCTCTAATGTCGATTGTCTAACCAAATACTATCAGCCCTCCTCTATAAAAAATAATACAAATATGGGGAGCACGCATGTAAATCTAAATCATTCATTTTATTAGACAACAGTTTTAAAAGTAAATTCTTGATTATGACTTAAACACAATTTTTCTCTTTTTCTACCAACTAACTAAAGCAAGTTTGCTCAGAAGGGCTGACCAACATTCTTAATTGGCTGTCACATAGAAACGAGCAAAACAACACAAACGCTCACAAACAACGTCGTAGGTACAGCCGCCTCCTATTTCTACCAGTGTTCCTGCCATATACTCATTGGTAATCGTCCGTCCTGATGCCAATGTTAATGGTATCTATTAATAACATGATTTTTCAATTGCTTGCGGAGTTTGTTGTCATATCCGACGCTGCGCCTGAGTCGATATTGGGTCACGTGTAGTTGCGTGTCTCCTGCAATCCTTATACGCATTGACTTCCGCGGATAAATGCGACTAGAGAACACAACCTCACCCATGCCACAGAAAACTTCAATGGAACTGTAGTCGACAAAAATACGCCAATGGATATGCGTGACGGGTAACCAGTCTGCTCGCCTGACGCCGTCCACTCCGCCGCGGTCTACGCTCACGAAGCCCCGCTCCGAGGAATATGCGATGGTGTACTGCCGCTCCCCGCTCCACTCTAGTATGATTGCAGCGTCGTACATCACTGTACTAGAGTTCACAAGCATTTCGAAGGCTCTGGATCCCGCGTAGAATGCTTCCCCAGGACTGTACCATGCGTCCTCTAGCACTTCAGCACGTAACTCGACTATTTCTCTAACCGGCGTCATCAAAAGTCTGCCTTGAAATGTCAATTTTAGTTCTCTGACCAAGGTTAGCATGCTTGCCCAGCCGTCATTCGATTCTTCGAACTCACTCTCCCACATGCCCAACCAGGCGACTAGCAGTCGGCGTCCATCAACAGACTGCATCGTCTTGGCCGCATAAAAGTCATGCCCATAGTCAAGCTCATTAAATGTCGCTGTTGATATCTCAAGGTCTTCAAATTGCCCACTTTGATAGTTAAAAGTTCCAATCACGTACCCCGTCTGATAAAGGTTCCGAAAACGATGGCCGTCGCCCTGAATACCTTGCACTGATAGTATAAGAACTGCGAATCCATCAATTTCAAAAAAATCTGGGCTCTCCCACATGTACCCCATATCTCCATACGATTTTGCTATGGTCCCGTTGAGCTTCCAGTTAAACAAATCTGAAGACGTGTACAATAATAAGTAAGCTTCTTGCAACCGTGAAGTACCAATTAACATGTACCATGAGTTTCTAAACCTCCACACTTTAGGATTTCGAAAGTCAGCGTTACCAAACGGGCCGTCTCGTATTATTGGGTTGTACAAATACTTCTGAAAGATGATGCCGTCAGCACTTATTGCGACGTTTTGCGTTTGATATGTCTTGTTATTGGATAACACGTGGCCCGTGTAGAACAGTGTCAAATAACTGTTATGAATGACCGCCGAGCCGGAGAGACAGCCATGCTTGTCGTAGTGGTCCTTAGGCACAAGTGCGGGCGGGTAAAACGCCCAGTCGACGAGGTTATCACTGATCACATGGCCCCAGTGGATGGGACCCCACGCGCCGTTGTACGGGTGGTACTGGTAGAATATGTGGTACTGTCGCTTGAAGAATATAAATCCGTTTGGATCGTTGAGCCAGCCTACAGGCGCTGAGATGTGGTACATGGGCCGGTACTTCTTCTTGAGCAGATATCTTTTCTGCTGGATAAAGTCCTCAATGTGCGCCAAGTCCTGGGCGAGCTCGGCAGAGACGACGCAAAGCCACACAGCCAGAACGAACACTTCCATCCCAGAAGGCAGCGGCTCCGATACTAAAGGCTAAATAAAATTATCCGGCCGTGATCACTCAAAGACGAAAGTCACAATAGTATTATGTTTGTAAACGAATAGTTTTATAATGCTGAGATTACACAACCACTTATTCTAGTAAGGGACCAATTGTAAACAATTACGTTATTTCAATTTAGATCATCTTTAATATTTGATACATTAATACATAATAAATTACCTACTGCTGCTTACTTTGTTACAAGTTAGTGGTATTTGTTTTTAATTCAATTTTGATGAATTATTCTTTCAGGACTTGCCCGTCGCGCATCGTATTGTCGGTGCATTGTTCTCACGAACAATATGAGATTGAAATACTGTATCAATGTGATTTTAAAACATTTGTATCATTTCTTGTGGCACACGAGCGACACTGGTCACCATTTACCCTGATGATAGGCAGTCGGCGTCGCCCATGGGCAACACCCAGAGCAAAGGAGTTACAACTTAACTCCGGCCGAGCCAGTCTAATCGTGCTAAAGGCGTATTCTCGCACATGAAAAGAGGGAACGAATCTTTGCACCTGCGGATGTAGGTAGTAGCCCTTAAAGAAACTTGGCTACTGCATCATGATCTGCCGTTGCTCAGGTTGACGACAGCTTTGGAAGCACCGGGCCGTCGTTGAGGGCACCTGGTGGGCCTTTTGAGAGGAAGGCCTTGTGGTAGAGTTGTGTTTTTGTGACGTAAATGTGCTTTTAAGTCAGTGGTGCCGATTCAGTACAATTGTGTGCGAATGCTCGCGACCCACATAACTGTAAGTACTAGATATGTAGTGGTGATTAGTGTTTACATGCATCCGTACCAAGTAGTCAAGTAGGTACCTACTACACCGCGAGGAGGACGCCGTTATACCTGCGTATGTTTCCTCGACTTGTCCAAACCGTTCGATCTTGTCTGTTATGATGTGCTATGAGAGTTGAGGGGCGCGGGTGTGTCCTCCTCAGATACTGGTATGCTTACCAGACAAATTGGGTCAAGTCGATCGGTAGGTACTTTGATGGATACGGTGTTGAAAGTTGCTGTAAGGCGAGGGGGTGTAAGCTCGCCCTTTTTTTAACCCCCAACGGGAAAAAAGGGGTGTTATAACTTTCACGTGTCTGTCTGTCTGTCTGTAGCATCCTGGAGCCTGAACGGATGAAGCGATCTCAATTTAGTTTTTTTTTGTATTAAAGTTGACTTACGTGCGACCACTTCGAATAAGCTTTTTATGTTTTATATTTAGCTATTAAACTTACATACTGTAAAAGTAATAAATGTTATTTGCAATAGAAATTTTTTTTTTAATTTGTTACAGTATTTATGGCTAGACTAGGTATATATACAGGGTGTAAAAAGACACTTAACGAATCCGTTAACTACGCATACTGCAGTTCTAACTAAGTAGCTCTATGCTAAAATTATCACTGGGTAACGAGTTTTATTTTTAGATATCAAAAAAAAAAATATTCATTTTATTGCGCGCAATGTAAAGCAAACGGGCTTCGTGTCATTGTGTGCGTAGGTTCACAGCTTAGCATGAAAACGCTGTGATAAGTACGTAGGTCGACGTTTTACTTCGCAACAACAAAACAATTCTGTAAAATAAAAATCCTACTGAGATGCACGATGTTTTTTGTGCGGGTCTGCATTTATTTATTACGTACATTACTGTTCGTAACTTCAAATGCGTAATTTATTTAGAAAAATCGAAAATTCAGGTAATATTTGTTTGGAAAAAAGTTTTGTAATAATACTTAGAATTTGATTGCGCAAAACTTTCTTTATCTCTATATACTTTATTTACTTTTTATATATATGTAATAAGATTATTATATACCACTCCTTCTCGAAATAAAAACTCAGTTGGGTTTCTGTAATAAAAACAGTTTCATTTATTTATTTTCTGTTTACAAGATAAAATTACAAAAGATAGTTAGAAATAGTCTTACCTGCAATAAAAACAGAAAACAACATTAAAAGTTTTTACTCCAGGTGATTTACTTATTATTCCTTATTAAAATTAATAACCTTTAAACCAATAATTGAAATCTTCAATGTTCGATATTTTTAGGTTAGAATTCCGACCATCGAGTATTCATCTTTTACTCGAAACGCGGCAAATTAAAACATAAACGTAGTGGTTACATACTCTTTGATAAAGATGATTACGTCTCATTTATATGAGAGTCGTTATTTTCTTTATATATATATCTCTATATACTTTTTATCTATCTACTTTCAATATCTCCAAAACCCGTGGAGTCCCAGCTATGGTCTTAAAGAAAAAAAAGATCCAAATAATGGGTAGAATACGTGGCTTTCGGCTTCGTTAAGTGTCCTTTTAAACCCTGTATATCTATACCTATGGCATTTATATGGCAGTCTTTCTACGTTTGTGACAATTCAAACATAACTGCGTTATCATAAGTACTACAGCATCTCCTGACTTCGAATAGCGGCTTTCCTGCGCACACGAGTATTGTCAGTCCCTGCAGGTGCAGGCGACGCGGACGCCGGTGGCGGCGACGGTGCGCATGGCCGAGGTGGCATCGCGCACCCCGCTCCCTCCCCTACACTATCAAAGAGTTCCTCTTTGTCGTCTGCCTCTTCCGGACGTTCAGTTTGCGTGTGTAACTAGTCAATGTTCCTTCTATGGACTTCACCATCATTTGATTTTATTGTATAAGAAACAGGTCCGGTACGCTCAGTCACAACGCCCTCAGTCCATTTATTTGATTTGGTGTAATCTCGTAACATGACGCGAGCTCATGTTGTGTTAGCGCCCGCAGAGGGCATTTGTGATTGGTCTCACGCTTCAATTGCTCGCTGCGCACCCGCTCAGCTGCATCAGGCCGCAGAAGATCAAGGCACCCTCGCAAACGTCTACCTAAGAGAGCTACTGCCGCTTCAAGTCCGGTGGTACTCTGTTCTGTATTCTATACATTACATTACATTTCTATACATAAATAGAAATCGGCTTAATGCCGTATTTAAATCTTCTCGTTCTAAATGGGCCTTTTTGAGAATACGTTTAACAGATCCTACTGCGTTCTCCGCATCACCATTGCTAGCAGGGTGATATGGGGGTATTAAAGTATGTTTGATACCGTTGCAAATATTCAGCAAATTCAGAGGATGTAAATGGTGGCCCATTGTCGCTTACCAAGCGTTTAGGCAAGGTAATAATATCTACAAGTATTCCAACTTCATAGAAACGGCCGAAACGCGAACTATACCTACGCGCCCGATGTCGGGACGCGCTCGGGACGCAGACAGACGCGGCTGTACCGCAGTGACGAACGGACGGTGTGTTGTCTTTTATTTAGAAATCAGCTCGAGTACATTATTAATATGACGAATAGGAAATATTGTGCTGTGTTAGGTAAGACTATAAAATAATTTTACTTACTAGTAGCCTAGGTAGGTACATAATGTGTGTCTTTATAATGGATCATTATTTCCTTTTATCTCACGAAAACAGGTGTTTGAATTTATAAATAAAATGAATAAAGTTATTGAGACGAGTGAAATAGGTAGTTATAGGCGGTTCTGGTTCTGAATGAATCATGATACTTTAGGTACCTACCTACTTACGCTTGTGTTAAAACGGTTCATGTATGTTTTGTTAGTTTGTATAATTCAAAGTAGAGAGTGTGGTATTTTATTATTAATAATATTTGTTTATTATCTGTGTTTATGAATAATACTAGAAAAAATAAATTTGGCAGTCTCTGTGTCATTAGATAGTTTTCGACCATAAAGAGTTTTTGCTCTTGCTTTATCAACATAATACCAATAAAAACTGTTTTTTTTCTCGGTTTTAATAACAACAATAATAACAGCTAGACTCATGTAATATTTTGATGTTTGAGGGTTGTGATTTTAGAACATTCGTAGTCAGCTGTTCAGTTCGGCATTGGTGGCCAAAGAAATTTTGTTTGTTTATTTTTAAAGCACTTTATTTGTTTAGATAAAAAAAACATATTTACAATCACAAAACTAAATGGAAACAGAATGTAGACAAAGGTAATTAAAATACTCGAGACGAGCAGCCCTAACGCATGTTTACGTACCGCGCGGCTGTAGGTATTTATTTCTTTCAAGCGGCCGAGTTACAATACTGTATGATATTTTTACTGTGGTTTAGGCAAACCAAAGCGAACAAATACCCGTCTCAAATAATCTATAATAATAGCTGCGGAATTAGTGTTCACTTGCTCCACTTCCATCCATTTAGAGGGAGCCTCAATGAGAACAAAATAATTGTTTCAAAAGTTTCATAATTGTTGATTTTGGCAAGTTTAGTAATCTATTAACACTATGGCGCCATTATGATTAATTACTGACATTCCATTGAAAGAAATGGCCCTTATTGGTAATCTTGTGCATAACAAAGAGTATGAACCACTATGTTTAGTGCATGATGACAAACTAATGTCTCACTTCAACGGTAATCTGCTAAAATTTTGACAGTTCTTTTGATCAGCGAACTGCCTCTGAGCTGAGTAATTGCGAGTGAGGATTTATTTAAATATTTGTGAAATAAATAGCTATATATAAAGATCAGGCTAAATATATATAAAAAGACCAGGTAAGAAATTCAATAAATCCTAATAGTTTTGTTTGTATTGCCTGTTGTAAACCTAAGCAAGTTCATTTAATTATTAAAAACTTTCAGGTTGTATAAACACATGTACCCGTCACAATATCTCTCACGATTCCTCTATAAGAGAGTCACCCACTCAGTCACCACTTGAAACTACTTACAGAAAATACTAATGAACATGTATTGTATTTTTGATAATTTATATGTCGCATTGACATAGGAAATATATGGACTTGAAATACCTACGAAAAAAAGGTGCCTACCTACAATCCAAAATTTCGCATAAGATGGCTGCCGTTGCTAGGGTTGTGCCGACTAAGTATTTAACGAGTATCGATACAATTTGAGTATAAGTTCTACGTAGGTATAGTTTTAG